GTTACATAGAATGCACAAGGCTTGAAGGATGTGGATTTTATCACTGACACTGCAGGCTCACGCAAAGAGCCAGACGGGTCTCCCAGGGAGGTACATGCCTGGATCATTGAAGCGCAGGCCCTTATCTAATTGCGCAATCTGGTCAAGTTCGTGCCTTTGCGTATCTCTAGTCCTGGTGCCTATTATAGGATCTTGCCTAGTAAAACTAGACATAATAACTGGCAGGGTACGCCTGTGGTGGTGAGTGCAGACGTGCAAGCATCCATTTATTTGGTTTGTTAGGGATATTATGACAAGAAGCTCCCCTGTCTGGCAGCCTGCAACGGAACATCCTTCCCATCAACCCAGCTTCCATGTAATCCCTGTCGCAACCGCACAGAAGCAGGATCTTCGCCTTCACCCTCGTGAAATTATTCGTATCCAATAGGTGGAGCTCGCTCGACATTGTCTCGTAGTTGTTTACCAGCGCCAGTAGGTATCCATCACCCTCGACCTCGGCATGCTTGCGCGAGATAAAAACAGGCTCCTGCACCATATGCGTTTTCCCAGGAAAATAAACCTCTGTGTTCCCAGTCACAATATCATAGTGAGCAAGAGAGTTGTAAAGCGGGTATCCGCCCCCGAGCTTTGGCGCGATCCTTTGGAAATCAGTGCCAAGTTTCGTGTCCATCATGTCGAAGAAACAGTGCCGGTATGGACGGGTTGCGAATCGATCATCGATCCGATAGAACTCGGAGTTGTCTCCCTGAAGGACTCTCGGTTCGCCCAGCTGCAGATCTTCTGATCGGGGGTCTATAGTGAACCGGACGAGTTGGGAATGGATGGAGCTCTCCGGTGCATTTCCTTGTGCGTCTAGCCACCAGAAAAATACGTTCTTGTCACTTAGACCTAGGTCGATAATTACATTTTCACTCTCGTCCTCGTAGGCGTTTGACGTGTGACCTGGAAAGCAATTTTTGTAGTGAAACCACTATAGCGTCAGAGATTAGGGGAGCTGTCATGTGGTGATGACGGAATAAGGAATGCAACAAACCTTTACATCAGTGGATTTAGCTCCATGGCGCGGAAGGACCCCAAGATACAAAGGTGTCCCGGGGCTCCATTGCCAATGCTCGCCACCAGGCTTCATCCTCTCAATATCGCACACCTGGGGGATGATTGGGAAGACAACCTGCTACAGTATCAGCAATGAACCAGACGGAACTTGATCATTAACATACCCAATTCTCTGTCACAGCAAAATCATGAATCATTGCAACCACTACCCCGGCCAGTTGACGTGTTCAAAACAAGAACATGCCCTCCCGCGAAGGCCTCCATCCACCCACCCATCCACCTGATAATCGACATCAGCCGCCATCTGTCTCTGTGGCTCCAGCCTAGCCATTCCATGCAAACCTGCTCCCAAAGCACCTCACCGAGGCGGATCTCGAAAGCAACTAAGGCCCCAGAGCCGACACCTGCAGCAGAGGAACCAGCACCTCCGCCGCTGCCCACCTGGGATACAGACTTCTACATACTGGTGCCAACACCGCCACAGACGACGGGCACCAGCACCCCCGAATGCACAGCTGATTCGGCTTTCCCTGCCCCTGTCCCTACTCTCTAACCCGACTCGACGCATCCCCGGACTCTCTCTCTTTTCCCGAATCTCCAATACATCGAGCCTCTCAGTCATCTCCCGCACGCCTACCCTGGTACTACTATGACGGCACCGCCGGACGCTCAGAAGGCCATGCACCCAAAAACGATAGCTCACAACGCCTTTTCAAAGGGTATCTACGACCTTCTTAGTACATTTGCTCCTTGATATCTGTAAGAAGCGATGAATGGAATGCTTGAAGTATAGTTTATAACAACCATGTATACAGTATGAGAGATTTGGCAAACAATCTTGTTAAAAAAAAGAATTTCAATAATCATCAGGTTTTTGAGAAGTGTACTTTCTCATCCACTCAATCACAGTGCGATACCAAAGCAAATTATTTTCCGGATTTACAATCGGATCCCCTTCGTCTGGAAATACCAGGAGCGCACTTTCCATGCCTCTGAGCTGGAGAACATTGAAAGCGGCTAATCCATCAGCAATGACCCTTTTGTAATTCAACTCGCAATGGATGACCAAATGGGGAGTATGCCAGCTTGCAGTAAATTGTGCTGGATCCCATTTCCTCCACTCACCCGGTGTTTCCCAAATGGGACCTCCAATTTCATTGATAAAATGTTGCCGATTGCTGGCTAACTGGGAGGTCATACTAAAAATCCCGTCATGTGTCACAAGGGCCTTGAATTTACGACCAAGCTCGTGGCCTTGGATCCAGTTGACCATATATCCTCCGTACCCGATACCAACCGCGACGGAGCGAGCAGTGTCAATGTATTGGAGGCTCTCCTTTTGTTGCAGATATTCAAAGCATCTCTCAAGATCTGTATAAGGCAGCCCGCCCCAGGAATACTGGCTAGAATCTTTGAAAGCTTGCCCAAAGCCAGAGCTGCCTGCTGGATTGGGTGCAACAATAACAAAGCCATGCTCTGCAAATAATGCTAGATTCCATTGGACACTCCACTGATTGTTCCACGCACTATGAGGGCCGCCATGGATGAAGAATGCCAATGGGTATCGTTGCTGTGGGTCGAACTTGGATGGTTTAATCACCCAGGCATGGATTCTGCGATTCCCACTGCTATCAAACCAAATAGAATTGACTTGTGCCTTAGAGAGCCCCAAATCCATTGGGCGACTCGCAGACAATACCTTTGGAGACTCGGTCGGAGCGGCTAGGTTAAGAATATTCCACGTGGGGGTCTCAACTAGGCTGCTCTGAGTGATCAGGATTTTCGATGAGTCCGATCGCACGGGTGTTACATGCGTAATAGATCCAAAACCCCAAGGATCAACCAGACTCAACGCCGCAGGACGCAATCTCTCGAAGTCACGAAGTCCAAGATGATACAGCATCATCCGCCCATTCTGCTCAGCCTGGATAAGAAGCGTACCGTTGTTTCCAAATGAGATGGCGCATGGGCTAAGATCCCATAGCCCATTGCCATCAGCAGATGCGAATATCTCATACACGTTTTCGAATAATGCAAGCGGTATGTACATGATGCGATATTTGTCGGCCGTGTGTCCATCTCTCTTCTGAGATATAATGGCTATTGGTCGATTTTCATCTGACTTGTCCACTGTAACTAATGATATTGCTCCTCCTAATCCCCGATACCGTCTTGCTGGATAGATAGGGTCTCTGTTCTGCTGATCCCACCGTTCCACGGGTTGGACATAGCATGAGCATGCTGTATGAGTAGCATTGTTAACTTCCTTGTCCCTAGTAATAAATACCACGGCAAAGGGGCAAATTTCAAATTCTCGCGAGCTCTCTTCCCCTCCCAGAGGTGACATGGGCGATTCTAACCCCTCTAGTCCCGCAAATATCATTAGATTGGATATGCCTGAGATACTATACCGACTTCCCGCCTCAGGTCCTCTTCGAAGATACCCATACCAGATGGAGTTCCTCAATTCGCTTGCATACGAGCATTCATCCCTGACAGGAAGGGTAGAGTAGAATCGGCCAGTGCTATGGCCAGTGGATTCCGCAATCTGCCTTGGGTTCACCAGAGATCCATCTGGATTCGCCCTGCCACTGATCGCAAACGCGAGTTCATTATCGTTGTCCTCTCGAAACGGCAGTTGCCCGGTCACCTTGAGGTCAAAGGCTTGGCCGGGGACTGTGCCCGCTTTATAGATCTCAGTGATAGTGCCCTTTGCGTCATCGACCATCAAGTCAGTGTTGCCGCTTTCCAGCCATTCAAGCCATATAATCTGATCGCTTTTTGACACCCATTGAGGTGATCTGGCGTTGGGATTCTCAGTGACACACCACGATCGACCAGTCGAAAGGTTTACAACGCGGATCTCCTTTTTCTCTGTTTGAGAGCGAAAAGAGTACGTGCTTTGAGTATACACTGCAAGAGTGCCTGCGGCATTTGGAATCGGGTTTGAGCGCCTAGGTGCCTCGAGTAAAGTCCTGCGAGAGTTGTTATGTTAAACGTATTCTAAAGGGAAGTCTGGAAGATAGACCTACTCCGAAATGAGTCTCATCGTGATCATAGCGCGGCAGTTGATGATTCCCTGAGTTTGGGATAATAACATAGAGAGAAATTATAAGTCGCTCTAAGGTAAGGTCGATGCTTGCAGAGGTGGGCAGAACGGACCCTTATCAGTAGTAGTTAAAGGAAAGGCACTAAAATGATGAATTGACTCCTCATTTGATTAATATATGCTAGATATTTGGATATTCGGGCATGAGGGGATTATGCAGCCAATCATATATCTCTTGCCTATGACTCTGTAAGCTGGATCAAGCAGAGGCAATATGCAACGCGGTACTTTCTTAGGAAGACAGTCTTATAGGCTGTGATCTGACAAATAGAAGTTGCTTTCCTAAAACAGCAGATACACAGTCACGTAATACCTCTTCCATAGGGGATTTTCTCCACTCTCTTCAGCCAGACTTCAGTTGCACTAAAGCAAAAGTCTAAGAGCACTATATAGGTCCAAGGTAATTGAAGGAGAAATGGACCAGACGAGGGTTCGCCCTTCTGCATAAAACCAGTGCGGCAGTTGAGCTTTTGAGGATTAATTTTCCAGATTGCCCCTATTCCTCTTCACCACACTCAGCTAATGGTAGAGTGGCCTCCACCACTTGACTAGTGGTGACTCATAAGCCTAGCCAATGGTGGCCCAGACGTGAGTATCACGTGCCCTCCTTTTGCTACCAGTGGCTGTAGCTCGTGTCAACAAGGGTTCCTACTCCTCTCCCGGATGTGCCTATGGTCGGCCGCAATACATCGGACTAGGAAGCTCTCTTCTGGAGGAGGCAGAACTGCGGGGACAAACAGACGGTCGACGCAGAAAAGGGATATGCGATGTATCCAGCCCACAGCCTTTACTGGATCTATTTGTGCTCCTTAATCATCTCTCCTCGCTCGCGCGGCTCATCTCTCTCGATTCCACTTGATCTACCTTCGGCGCCGGGTGTCCCAGACCTTATAAGCCAAACCAACAGCAAGCCAGCCACCTCGAACACCAATCCACACGGTGATCAATGAACGGGGACCTCATTAGACCCCAACATCTGGCCTGCCTACCCCTGAGAGCCATATCTGCGCGGTCAAACGCGTCTTATCTCTTGTTTTAATCGACAGCTCACATTCGAAGCGCGCGCGTTGATCACCTCCAATCAACAGCCCCGCACCCTGGGCCCATCCCCACCAATCAGAGGCGCCGGCCCCCAGACCTCTGAGGTTCGGCTGCTGGCATATCCAGCCCAAACACTATCCATTTGCTGACGACGACCCTTCGGGCAGAGCGGTCACCTGACCGGATTAGGGCTCCGCCCCCCGCCAGGCTGCCTCCCTGCGCTGGGTCAGGGTACTCATGGACTTTGCTCCAGCATCACATACTATCTCATACTTTAATTACATACTATCTCATACTTTCCACTGGGGCCCAGTTGTTTTAATATCATAGCTCAGTGGCCGGCCCTTACAGCCAGAGATGATTCATCCATTACTGACCATTCCTTTCGTTTCATGGTGCACTGTACGGATGTTATCAAATTTACCCAGGCTTACCCTGGCAAGTTAGCTAAGGCCCCCTGGGTCGAGGGCTTTACTCAGCAAGCACTCACCCTGGTCAGGAAGCTACTGGATAGCTGATTCCGCGAGCTGCAGCCAGCGATTTGGGCAAGCAGACCAGGGCACCTGGCATGAATGGCGCAGAGGCAGGCGAGCACAGCTCAGCCACCTCTTCTTCCATGACTCCCGGGGTCCGAGGGGTCCTTGGCTGGAGCCAGCAGGTGCTAAGTGATCTATCTTCTCCCCCCAATCATTATCTCCCTCCCTCCTTCTCCTCCCCCCCCCCGGCCGCACCCCCCGGCAATGACGAGAACCGCATCCAGATCCGGTGGCGTGGGCATGGAAACGGCCCGGGAGCCAGCCCCTACAAGCAAACCACCGCTTTGGCGATCGTGGGCAAAATCCAGGAGGTACTCCGCCGCAGTAGCCTCCCTGGCCTTGCCAGTGTGCAGGTAGCGGGGGCCCAGGTGCTTCGTAGCGGCGATTTAGATGTGTACACCCACTCTGCGTCAGATCGGGAGCGCCTTCTCTGGAACAAAGAGGCATGGCTCCAGGAGCTCCCAAAAGGCAAGCATGCCCAGATCACTAATCACCAGTACACTGTCCTTATTCACCATGTCCCTATTACCTTCCTTCCCTCTAGCACCCTGAGCGCGGTGGAACACCTCCAGGAGAAGACCTTACACTATAACCTAGCACTCCGCGGCCCCATACTACATGTGGGCTGGTGCGGGAATGATGCTGCAGCCCGACAGAGCAAGCAGAAATCTTCCCTGGTTATCTCCTTCCGGGATGCACAGTCAGTGAACCAGGCCATTCAGAACCAAATCTTCCTAGATGGCACTCCGCTGCGTATAGAGCTATTTGACCCGCTCTGCTGGCATCCTATAGTGCACCAGATACCTAAATTATGGACACGCCCAGCCCATTTACATAGCTGAAAGAGTTACATGTCTGTATTGCGCTAACGCCCACAAGAAGTTCTGCAAGGTCAAAGGGGTCTTTCCCAGCACCACTGCGCTGTCTGCCATGGCCTACACCAGGCCGACAGCAAGCAATGCCCAGTACGCCAACACGAACATCGACTATCCCAAGATCAACTACAAAACCAACCCCAATTCTTTGCCAGCCTGCCCTAGCCAGCCGACCCGGCCCCAAACACCAGGCCGACCCCGGACGCCGGAGCGGCTCCGCCACAGCCACCTGCGCCACCGCACGACGCAACCAGCACGTAGCCCCCCAGGTCTGAGCTGAGAGGCCCAAAACGATCAGCACGCTATTACCGAATTCAAGAAGACACGCGTCAACTGGCCGGCCAGCCACCAATACCAGTTGACGCGTCTAAAACAACACGCTCTCCCACAAAGGCCCCCATCCACCCAATAATCGACGTCAGCCGCCATCCATCTTTGCAGCTTCAGCCCACCCATTCCATGCACACCTGCTCCCGAAGCACGTCACTAAAACGACCCCGGAAAGCAACCACACCAGACCCTGAACCTAGACCCGCAGCGGAGGAACCAGCACCTCCACCGCTGGCCACCTGGGATACAGACTTCTACATACCGGTGCCAACACCGCCGCAGACGACGGGCACCAGCACCCCTAAAAAACCAGCTAATTCAGCCTCCCCGCCCCCGTCCCTACTATCCAACCCGGCCCGACGCGTCCCTGGACTCTCTCTCTCCCCCCAAATATCCAACACATCAAGCCTCTCAGTCATCTCCCGCACGCCCACCCTCCCAAGTGATCTCACCTGGGAGGTCCCCGAGCTGCCAGGGCCGAAACGCAAACACAGCCACAGCCAGGGCCGTCAGCTCACCACAAGCAGCCCTGATCCACTTGTTACCCCTATATCAAAACACCGAAAGATATCCACTAAGACATATGACACAGAAGATGATAACACCACGCAAGCCTCAGCAGCACTAGGCCTGCCTACACCATACACCAGCCCGAACCTGCCAACCAAACCGGCCTCAACACAGGGGACATGCAGCCAGGGACTGCCCGATCCAGCAGCCCCCTTCCGCCACAGCCCCGGTTTGTAAGACCAGGGCCCCCAGCGTTAACCACTGCCACTGGCACCAGCTTATCCAACATATCCAAGACATCAAACACATCCAGCACATCAGACACATCTAGTAGTGCTCATAGCGGATATCGCGCTTGATGGTCCACTCTGAGGCCAAAAACCTCACAAGCCTCGAGAACTTGCAATACGGAACGTAGAGCGAGCGAGCCCGCCCCTGTATTATTAAGGTCATCCGTTCAAGGAGTGGTGCATCTCGGGGCTTGGCGGCCGAAATGATCTTGAAGATTGAAGACGCAAGTGGTTCGTCAATAAGGGTATTGACGAGAAGCCTCCGGATGTGTCCATTGCGGCTCCGATTGATGCCCTCGAGATCTTCTTCGGTGTACTGATTGTCAATGTCATCCCAGTCCGCATCGATGGAAGTTTGCTCCTGGTACAAGGTTGGGTCAGATACATCTAATACCAGGTCCAGGAACCTCAGGTTCCTAATTGTGCCCAAGGCTTTGTAGAGAGCCACCTCCCGGGCATCTCCTTGAGTACGATGAATTGGGATACTCATCTTCTCCAATAAAGGGCAATATCTGCCGAGCTGGAGGATATCATGCTCATTGACATATTGGAAAGGCCAACCAACCACAGACAGCTTGACCAAACGTGGTCCTTGATGTCCTCCCAACGTCCCTATTGACAGCCGTGAGTGCCATGCCTCCAGGTATATGCATGATAGCGACGGCAGACTCTGAAGGAATCTTGTTGCTCGCAGGAAGACGTCAGACAGATTTTCCGCTTCACTTGATGTAGTACCGAGGAGCAAGCGCAGCGTTTGAAGGGCCGGGAAATGAAGATGATCGGCCCAGGCTTCGAATGCTTCTCCCTTGATGAATGATCTCAGATCAAGGACCCGCAAAACGGAGAAATCTATGTACGTAGCCCATTCCTCCAGTGCAGCAGCAGGCGCGGGAACATAAGCGTGTCTGATTCGGAGGCATTCTATTGCGGCTGGACGTCCGTCGCCTGGCTCTTGTGTGAATTTGGACCGTCTTTGATTCATTCCAACAGCTGACGCCTCATAGCCGAAATGGTCGTCCATTGGATATACCACCTTCAAGTTCGGGGCGAGGCTCAGGATACGCAAGAAGATTTGCTTCTGCCACATACCGTCTGGTGTCGTTGTGTCATAGCAGGGAGTGATACTGTGTAGAGACGGCGAGGTGACTAGCCGATATTCGTGGTCCTCAGCCATAGGAGCATATATACTCCGCAGCACGAATGGACCCAAATGCAGTTTACATCTCGGTAGGTGTTGATGCAATGTCTGAAGCAGGCAAGGGGGAAACTGTTCATGGTGCAAATGGTGAAGATCTTCTAAAGCAGGAAGTCTCTTGATGAATCCCGCGACAGTGTCCCAGCATGCATGGTGCTCATGTGTTTCACGGACATACACATGCCATACCGTTCCGCCGAGATCGTTGTCCCCAAACTCATACGAATCTCGCGGATCGCGATCTAATGGTGAGAAACGCCGGACTTGGGGTGGGACAGATGTAGAATGATCTTCCGAGAAATGGCCCTCGATGATGAGACGCCTGACATAACTCAGGGCGTTAGCCTCTTGCAGTTTAGCGCAGAGCGTTGCCACCTGTTTATCGAGTTGCGGGTAATACAGTGGCAAGCGGACTGTATGAAAGGCAAGTGGTTTTGCTACTGGCAGAGCCAAGGCGAAGCATCGCTTGTTGACTCGGAGCAGACGAATAACGCTGAGAGGATGGACGTCAGCAAGGAGGTGAACAACTAGGGAAATGATTTCTGCAGGGAGGTCCTGGAAAGACATCGTGGAATTTCGGAGGGAATTGGAAGACGAGAAAGCAAAGCTCGTGTTGGCCGAGATAAACAACCCCACCAACGACAATGGCTTTAACGCCAGGGACGTTGAGTCACCCACTTGGAAACTACAACCATTATCCTTATCCTAGCACACCGGGGTCACAAACAGTCATTGTCATGTCAGCCATGGGATCAAAGCCTCACATTTTGCTGTTTGGGGTCGGCAGTATCGGTGTGACAGCGGACAAGGTAGCACAAAAGATCTACGCAGTTATTGTACTGAAGTCGTTCAAATTACCCTCATCCACAAAGGAGACTGTTCCATAGTAATCCACTGTCAGCGTGGGCAAGCAGTGGCCAAGATCTATTCTAGTGTGAACCAACATAGCATAATCCGGATACCAAACACATCACATTGAATGACTATCAGTGAACCTTAGTAGAATTCTAAGGGATTAGCCCAGTGTAAAGGATTGTTAACAAGGTTAGGGAGGTTAGGTTTTTGGGCGTAGGTAGCATGGTAGCATACGCAGATACGAGATAAACCTGCAGCGGCCAAACATGAAAAGGAGTGTGCGAATGGTGAGAATGTCACGTGGCTAAGATGATTAGTACATTGATTGCAATAGGGTCACGTGACCACTACTACCCCCTGCTCGACCGAAGTTTGTCGAGACTAAGGCAGATTGCGAGTGCCTGGTAGGCTCGAGCACTCAGCGGCCCTGCCCACTACACTAATAAAATTTATATAACCTATAATGAATCTCTATATAACTAGGAACAAGGTTCCTACTATAAGAATTAAAATTAGTCTATTTAATATATCTATCTATAGTATAGAGATACACTAGACTAAAATAAACACCGCGTTTGTTTTGCACATACCAAGAAATGATAGCAAAGCTTTCATGAAAGATGAAAGATACAAAGCTCGATCTTCCAGAGAAAGCTTATTTACGAGAACATGAAAAGAGGCGCGCATGGCTTCGTGTGACATGGCGCTAGGTCTATCGGAGAACAAATTTCAACTAGGGCGAGGAACACGGGGATCAAGAGTGAGGAAAGGGAAGGAGAAGAGGAAGCTGATCGACCCAGCTATCCTGCTGCGTTCCAACACTTTCGACTCAGAGGTGCAAAAGTGCGGACGCGAGAGGTCACGGCGATGGCCGCCTCGCGGCAGCCTACGGGAGCCTCTTCGGTCGCTGCTGCTTGTGCCACAGTCACATTCCTCTCACACATGGCTTCAAGCCATAGCTGCTTGGGGCGTTCGGTAAATCCGCATGGTTTTTTTTCTCCTTTAACTTGTTTTCGTGGCAGAGCAAACTGGTTAGTTTCCCTTTCTTCTTCCTTTTTTTTTTATTCCTCTATCCGTGCATTCCTGGGCTGCGCTGCCTCGTTGCATGAGAAGTAGGGTAGTGCACAAAACGACAGAATAAAGGGAACGATGCCAAAATTCGTCCCAAAGCCGTCTCGTGAGCAAACAGCTCGAGTGAATAAGTCTCGGCCTAAGACAAGGAAATTGACAGGCGATCAACATACGATCACTCCCCCGGCTGTTGGTTCCAGTATCCCATTAGATGATAACTTCGGCGGTGATATTTTTACTCAAGACGGAAGGACAACTTCAATAAAAAATCTCTTGGTCAACAGTCCTAAGGGACTGATCGTATTCATCTACCCAAAAGCACTCGATGATAATGGTACTATCTCGGTCGTCTAGATTTAAAGACATATAAGTACCGCTAACAAGAACAGCATATGACCTCTACGTCGAATTCGATTACCATCAGTTCAACTGGGAGCGAGCCAATATGAGTACAATTGGCATCTCCCCAGACTCCGTGTCTGCCACGGCAGCCTTCGTGAAAGAGAAGGACATCCGGCTACCGCTTCTCAGCGATCCGAGTATGTCGTTGATCAAAGCGATGGGATTTGTCCCAGCTAAGGGAAGAGTTCAGCAGAGTGCTTTTATACTCTCTAAGGATAGGGTCTTGCTCGCGAGGACAACCGGGAAAGTGGAGAAGATTATTGATGATTTAAATCGGGTTTTGGACGGGATTATGGAGGAGATGGAATATGAGAGTCCAGAGTAGATCGTTTTCTTCGGTGTCTGACGCGGTGTTAATATATTGAATTGAAGCAACAACAGTTCGTCTCATCTTTTGGCGCATCGGATCTGGCCAGCACCTCCTGGGCTGCTGCCGCTGCCTCGCGTGGTTCTCCCGGATTGCAAGTCGGTTCTTATTATATCCTAGGTGGGGTAAGTCATCCCTTTCCTGGATGTCGAGTCTAATCGATGGTACACTTCCTCAACGGCAGAAGTCTATTAGTTTATGGACTATCGTCTCGCTCCACTTTGACGAGGAAATCTTCCCTCGACCCAACGATTAAGCCAGAGGGATATCTGCGAGGAAAGGATGGATCGTGATTAGTATCTCAACCCCTACAGCCGTGGAGTCATCCCTCTAGTATTGCTGCCCTTTTTAGTGTTATACTTCTTCTCATATAGGTCTAGAATACAGCAGGAGCGAGGGCCTTCCTCTTGCTGAATTATTGAATTGTATACGAGCATTGACATTCTTCATGCACAGAGTTCTACAAGAATCTGATCATGAAACCAATATGAGATAGACATTAGAGAGCCAGACAAACCGGTTCCCCTTATTGCATTCAAGTGTCAAGAGTTATTCAGATGAACTACTATATTTTGAGCCAGTGTACGGCCGTAGACCAACCCCGCCCAGTCTCTGACCCATCCCCATTGTATTCGCCATATACGCCTGGCTGAGATTGTCCAATTTCTCGGCGCTGTGACCATACCAATATGGCTTTTCCCATCTTAGTATATAGGAGACTTGTTGTTTTAACTTCGAGACAGGGCCTACAAGGCGGTGCAAGTCTGGAGGACAGCACAGTCTTTACCACTCTACGATCTCATCATTTGCGGTAACGTTGGATTCGATGATACACGCAGATCAGCCTATCATGTCAATGACACTCCAGCTTTCAAACGCCACAAAGACGACCTTCGCATCATAGAGTCCGATATCTCAAACGCCATTTTCAGATGAGGCACCCTTCTTCTAATCCCTGCGGTGCTGTTAAGCAATGCCTCCGTCGGAGACTGCATTATTAGACCTAAACGTCGGAGTATAGTACTTCATTACATGAACATTTTTCGGGGTAATCAGGTATATCACTAGCACTCCTTGAATCATGCGAGATTCAACTGCATTTGTACATAAGACCAGTTAACGCCCGGATTCTTGAATCCCACGCAACTGCATCATTGTGGACCATCTTGAGCACCGTCCCTCTTGGCCTCCGCCGGCCCTTCCACCCTCACTGGCTATTCCCGTCTCGGCGCCAAGTACGCCGAGGTCTGCTTATGCCGATCCTCCCACTTCCACATATGTCTCTGTGACAGCACGAACATTGAGATAACAGGCATCCCAGATGGCCACGCCCATTCCGGGACATTAGAAACTAATTCCCTTGGCATCACACCACCCTCCAGCCATGGTTCTACCGACCAAAGCCGCTTCAGCGTTACATCCAAGAGGGCCGTGGAATTAATCGTCGTCATTGTACCGCTGCAGCCCTGCCCCTTTGACCTTGGTACTCCTTGGCTCGCATGAGGAGCCGCCTGATAACCACGCCAGAGACGTTGGTAGTCAGCCATCTACGCCATCCGACTCTTTGTTCTGACCCCGCTGGTCTTGGCCGGGACGCATGCGGTCAGCGGAGGTGTCTAGTAGGTACTGGAGACTGAGTCAGAGATAATGAAGCCACACATCGAGCACGAGGTTGGGCTAGCCTGAGAGGCCATTTCTCGGCCAGACGGGGGTCTAAAGCGATCGGAACCATAAAAGGCGACCTCCACTTCCCTCGTCTCTTCCCCAGATCTCTCCCAGATCTCTCCCCAAATTCTCCGCATTTTTCTTCGTTGGCCGCTATTCTGTAAAGCATATCAAATACACTTCGCCCTGAACCTCTACCGCTTGTCTGCCACCATGGGGGAGAAGTCTTCCGACCCTGAGGCTCCAAGTCTCTCCCACCATGAGTCTTCCATATCTATTGAGAAGCAAGGAGGAGATGCAGCTACTGCTCGAGAGTGGGCTCACGATGTGAACAAAAGCACCACGACCAACACTAAACTCAAGAATCCTCTTGCCAGGTTAACTCGAGAACAGCTTCTGAGTGACGTCGAGGCTTTCGCAAGGGAGAAAGACCTCGAGTATATTCTTGATGATCTGCGAAAGGGGGCTCTTGTCGCACAGGATCCACGAGAGTTTGAGCAGATGGACGAGCTGACGGAGAGTGAGAAAGAGCTACTTCGACGCGAGAAGACGCATCGGTGGAGTCAGCCGTTTATGATGTATTTCATGACCAGTAAGTCTCCTCGCGATTCTCTTGTTGGATTGCAATTTAAACCGGCCTGTCAGTCCTCTGTGCTGGATCTGCTATTGTTCAGGGAATGGATCAGACTGCCGTCAACGGTGCACAAGAGTAGGTACTTCCCATCCTCATCTGAGCTATGCTAAGCAGGCAGGTTCTACTTTGCTGAATTCAACGTCACCGACACTTGGATGCAAGGCCTCCTGAACGGCGCTCCCTATCTCTGCTCCGCCGTCATTGGATGCTGGACCACTGCGCCCCTGAATCACTGGTTTGGTCGCCGCGGATGCATCTTCATCTCTTGCTTTATCTCCTTTGCCGCCTCATTCTGGATGGCGGCCGCACATACCTGGTGGAATTTGTTGCTCGGCCGTTTCCTCCTCGGTTTTGCCGTGGGCGCCAAATCCACAACCACCCCGGTGTATGGCGCCGAGTGCTCCCCGGCTAATATCCGCGGTGCTTTGGTCATGATGTGGCAGATGTGGACGGCATTTGGCATTATGCTAGGATATATTGCCTCTGTTGCATTTATGGATGTGACGCATCCGACAATCCCGGGCTTCAACTGGCGATTGATGCTAGGGTCTACCGCCATCCCGTAAGTAGGCCCCTGCATTGATTGCATATACATGTGCTAACGACCTTGGATCAGGCCCTTCTTCGTCTGCATCCAGGTCTACTTTTGTCCCGAGTCGCCGAGGTGGTACATGATGCGCAACCGCTACCACGATGCGTACAAGGCGCTCTGCAAATTCCGCCCGTCTACGTTCCAAGCTGCGAGAGACCTGTACTATATCCATGCTGCTCTAAAGGTGGAGGAGAAGCTCCGCGAGGGCAAGCATTTATTCCGCGAGATGTTCACCGTCCCGCGCAACCGACGTGCGGCGCAGTCGTCTTTCTTCGTCATGTTCATGCAGCAGGCAAGCCAACCCTTTCCATCCTATAATCAGACCTAACTATCGTAGTTCTGTGGTGTCAATGCCATCATGTACTATTCCTCGTCGATGTTCCGAGAAGCCGGTTTTGACACCCGTATGGCACTCGTCACGTCCCTCGGATGCGGCATCACCAACTGGATCTTCGCCCTGCCAGCCGTATACACGATCGACACCTTTGGACGGCGGAATCTGCTGCTAACCACATTCCCTCTGATGTGTATATTCCTCCTATTCACCGGCTTCTCATTCTACATCCCGGATCAAACGTCTCGGACAGCCTGCGTCGCGACTGGCATATACCTCTTCATGATCGTATACTCGCCCGGTGAAGGCCCAGTACCATTCACCTACTCTGCAGAAGCTTTCGTAAGTCTTCTTCAATTACTATCGTCGCGGTCTACTGATAATGCCAGCCCCTCTACATCCGAGACATCGGCATGTCCTTCGCAACAGCCACAACGTGGGGTTTCAACTTCATCGTCTCGCTGACCTGGCCGTCGCTCAATAAATCGTTCACTCCCACCGGTGCCTTTGGCTGGTACGCGGCGTGGAACTTTTTTGGCTGGATCTTTTGTTATTTCTGTCTGCCGGAGACCAAGGCGCTCTCGCTTGAGGAGCTGGATCAGGTCTTTTCCGTTCCGACGACGAAGCACATCAATCACTATCGGGCGATGTTGCCGTGGTATGTCAAGAAGTATTTGCTTCGGAGAGATGTGCCACCGCAGAAGCAGCTCTACGATTATTATTAGGGATGGTGTTTGTGGATTGTGGATGAAGGTATATTCCTCGACAATTTGTGCTGTTGGCCTGACTCCTGTTCCAGCCGTATCATTTCCAGACTTTGTGCCAGTTGTTCAATACTCGATAGCTGTTCTATAACCACGTTGTAGCGATGATGCATATTTCTTACAATTGATGCAGTTGTCCCTGTTTCCCAATGAGGTGGCGCACATGGCGATGGGAGATCGACAGCGGAAATAATTCTTATTGGCTGCCAAACAACTAATTAAGGTCCACTTTGGCTAGAAATTTTCTTTCAACCAATCAGATGGCTGTATTATCTCGGAAACCACAACTACACTACCTCTGATTGGACAAAAATTTCAAGAATGGGTCAATTATCCTGATTGGGGCCTGCTCAATCTCGGCATTAGGTAACATATACCAATATCAACGGCTCTAGAGAGGAATGGAGCACACGAACTGGGCCCAAGACTGAGCGTGTTGCCGTTGAGTCATCATGATGCCGTCGCAGTTTTGTTTCGCCGTTGCAAGTCCGGAGCTCGCAGCTTGACCTGTCAGTATCAAGAGCTGGTGACATAGGATCTGTGACGGCGGAGAACATCCCGGCCTCGACATCTGCCTCGTGATTGCATTGTATGAGTGAGATCGTAGGGTTGCCACGGTGAAAAATCTGCTTCTTCCAGCTCCACTCGTCCGGGAGCCGCTCGATCAGACCTTAACCGTCTCTGTCGTCGCTCGTCAACAGTTGCAATCATGGGTTCCATGCTCGAGGAAGGATCCCGTCCTGCTGCGGACGCTGAGATGGACACGGATCGTGTACATCCCGACGCTGTTTCCGATGGTGAGCGTGACTTTGAGAAGCAGAACTCGAAACCAGAGTATCAGGATGCATTCGGGGACGAGGAGTATGCCGAGGTGAAGTACAAGACCTTGAGTTGGTGGTGAGTTATCTTCGTTAACTAGATACTTGGACTGTTGCTGACCCACGCAGGCAATGTGGTTTCCGTGAGTATGCCTTCACGAGTTCGAGGACGTAGCTGATCGAGAGCAGTCATGGTTGCCGAGACGGTGTCGCTGGGTATTCTCTCCCTGCCGGCGGTAGTGGCTGCCTTAGGTCTTGTTCCGTGAGTCTACTCATTCCCCTCCGCCGACAACTCTAACGAACGTAGAGCCGTCATTCTCCTTGTAGCGCTGGGTCTGATGTCCACCTACACTGGATACACGATTGGGCAGTTTAAATGGAGACACCCGTTCATCCATTCCATGGGTGATGCCGGCGAGATCATCATGGGCAGATTTGGCCGGGAGCTCTTCGGAACAGGCCAATTGCTCCTGGTGGTCTTCATCATGGCTAGCCATATCCTGACTTTTACCGTCGCCATGAACTCGATTACAGATCATGGGACGTGCTCGATCGTCTTTGGAGTGGTTGGCTTGGTCATTTCGTTCGTGCTGTGTTTGCCGCGGACGCTGGCCAAGGTCTCGTTTCTATCAGTTGCTTGTGCGTATGTCTCTGACGATGTAGAATGCCACTGACAGTTCGCAGCCTTCATCAGCGTCTTTTCAGCGGTCCTGGTCGTCATGATTGCCGTTGGCGTGCAACGGCCATGGCACGGCAGTGTCAATGCTACGGTTGATACCAGTTTATACAAGGCTTTTCTTGCAGTCTGCAACATTGTCTTCTCATTCTGTAGGCTCCTCCTCCTCATCTCATTCATGGATCGTCACTGACAAAACAGCTGGACACGTCGCCTTCTTCGGCTTCATGGCCGAACTGAAAGACCCCCATGACTACCCCAAGTCGCTGTTCCTACTACAAGGCATCGACACATGCTTGTATATCGTCGCCGCGGTGGTGATCTACTGCTATGCCGGCGACGACGTTACATCGCCCGCGCTAGGCTCAGCCTCGACTATCGTGAAGAAGGTGGCGTACGGAATCGCCTTGCCGACTGTAAGTCTTTTGTACCCGTCCCAGGATCCATCTGACGAGGCGTAGATCATCATCGGAGGCGTGGTGAACGGCCACGTCGCATGCAAGTACATCTACGTGCGGATGTGGCGCCACAGCGACCGCATGCATAAGCGTGATCTTGTTGCGACCGGCTCATGGGTGTTGATTGGGCTGGCGACTTGGATCGTGGCTTGGATTATTGCCGAGGCTATCCCGGTGTTCAACAATCTGTTGAGTCTGGTGGTATGTTTCCTTGCTGGTTGGCTATTGGTCAAGCTGATGATGTTATACAGGCGTCGCTTTTTGCAAGCTGGTTTACCTGTAAGTTCTTCCCTTCTATCTTGATATCTCGCTGACGATTGCAGACGGCTTCAGCGCTCTTTTCTGGCTGCATCTCAATAAGGGCCGGTTCTTTTCGACTCCGATGAAGACTGCGCTTACTATTCTGAACATCTTCATCATGGGAATCGCATGCTGCATTGTAAGTTCTTGCTGACAGTCTATGATACAATTGCTGATGATCTTCACAGTGTGGTCTCGGGCTTTATGTGTCAGGCAAGGCCCTGCACGACGACCCCGGCAGTGCCAGTTTCTCATGTGCAAATAATGCCTAACGGCTATATATATATTTTTCCAGATGCCACATCCAGTGGCACATGTACAGTAGAGATAGTGTATCATAATCACTCATGTTCGAGGCTTGGTTCGACACCTCTCTTCTACGCGATTCCCTACAGTGCCAGCAGGACTCACCGCGCTGGACGGAGGTGCTACACTCTGTGTTTGCCCTTCCGTCGTAGGCTGTATCTGGTGCTTGACCGGCTCCAGTGACCTCCGCCGTAGCACCTGTGTCCGCACATCGGTCTCCATCTCCTGCCGCTTGTATCGCTTGCTCGCCACTGGCCGCCAGCTCCCGCACCGCAGAGGTAACTTCGTGCTCCAGCGAGAAGTACTCGTAGCTATGTGCGCCATGGTATGGGAAAATGTTCTCATCGCACCGTCGGTGACTGTTTTCAAGGCCAACAGGGACACCCGGCTGCCTCGCGGAACGTTCCCTTGCGATTGCACTCCTCGCCGCGACCCGCGACGCGCAATTCATTGGATACTCTGTTCTACAGTCGGCGCTAGTAGTATGTGATAACACGGGATTCCGTTGATTCTTCACGTAGATGTGGTCAAGGAAGCGCCAGGGCGTTGGATTCGGGGAGTGGGATTGTCACGGGCGCATCGAGGGCGAAGGATCCTGTGCGGAGCTTTTGGATGTCGGATGGAAGGTCAATGAGGGTTGATCTTGGAGCTGGAGCGGTCGAGGGGGAAACATTCTGGCTGGTTCATGTTGCATTTGCAGTGGTCATCACGATGACTTCAGGGAGCTCAAGTTGGTGATGCTTGTCTTGTGGCTTCCTGGTCAGGGACTTGTCATCACGTGGGATGTCCTTTGGGATGCCATATTTTTAAGGCTACTGACGAAGGGAGCATGTGGCTTCAATCATCGACTCGATGCTCGAGAGCGAGTCTCCCAGAATGTTGATGTCGAATCGAAGCCACGGCGGCAGTTCCGGCCTCTCCTTCGGACTCGATCAGGTAGTGTTCGAGGACTTCGCCGACAAGCTGTACGATTATACACGGATTATGATTGTTGATGTCCATGCGGTGGACACTATATATCGGGCAGAAGTACCCTGCAAATGTATTCAAGGGGGACGTAAGGGTGTGACGTGTCTGTCTTCTGACAAGCCCAACTTCCGATCCAAGACTGAAATCCGCTCCAATAATTAAAGTATGTTTTTAACCCCGAATGTCCATGGACGAATTTCAGAACATGTGGACAATGCTCAATGGGCCTGCAACCTCAAAAAAACAGAATAACTCTTCTCTGCCTCAACAGGCAACCGACAAGTCCATTATTCCATCATTAGTCAGTGTGCCCGAGTGGTTAAGGGGAGTGATTAGAAATCACTTGGCTTCGGCCGCATAGGTTCGAGTCCTATCGCTGACGTTCTTTTTTCCCCCTCGTCCGTTTTCTGTAACGGAACTACCATTGCAACAAGGATGTGATTTTCTTTTTGCTCATCGACCGAAGATAAGATACTGCAAAGTTGCTCCTACCAGCCCCGTCGACGTACCGATCACCCCATCCTAGTCTACGGCTGCGGTTCCATCGAATCGCATCGTACAAAGAGTAACCCGAACACTATATACAAACACCAGAACATCCTCAGTTGCCATCAATTGCCCGTTCATGACGGTGTCAGTCTGCAAAGGCGACCGCCGGCTAGACAGTCGCCGCTTATTAGGAGCCTCCGACCTCCCCGGCCCAGTGTCGAAACGGAGTAAGGAATCAATCAAATCAATCAATTGCCTGTTCATCATCATTCTTGCTTTCCCGAAGTCCACTGGCCGAGTAGTCCCTCAAGGCAAGTGAATAGGCGATATTACACGTCTTTTCCGTGATTATCGTCCCTTATTACTGTCTGGTTACGGCATGGTTGTGGAGAGGGCAGAGAAGCTTACTCCGCTGACGGAGTTCGAGTTCGGCCGGACGACGTGAATGGGCATGACATTCAGAGGAAACGGTGAGCAAAGAAACCTCTGAAGCATGAATAATGGGGAATACAGAGTTGGTACCGAATGGATGATAGACCCGACCTCATGCCCCAACTAGCGTGGGGGAAGTTCATGGTCGCTGCAACTTCCACTGCCGAACCGAGAAATCCGAGGTCATCCAAAGATATGTCTCCATTCTTCTCGTCTATCGCTATACTTGGAGAGTTTCTCAAGCTACTTAGTGCGTCTGACTTATCTGTGGGTTCTCTCAACCCTGAAATATACTGGACGACGAATACTTCAAAATATATTAACGACCATGCAAGGAAAGGCAATCCTCGGAGATTGCGAGTCGAAGGATACTACTAATATACCTCCGGAAGCCATTCCCGAACCTCATCGACAAACTCTCTTTCGTCCTGGTCGTCCCATCTTCTCCTTCTCGCTGCACGGCCAATGTACCGATTCTCCTGCGGATCCTTGGCAGCCAGTCTTCTGGCGACTTCATTGGCCTCGAACAATGTGACCAATCTACGCTTCGCATCGGGTCCTCTCAAAGTCTCTGCCTTGCCGCGGCAGAAGTCGTAGATCCTCCTTTTCATCGTTGGGGCTTCATCACCCTCCTCAACAAAGGATTCGGGCCGACGATCCACAAGGCTCCCGCCATACTGATTGCTGCTGTACATGTACCTGTTTCGACGCTCCAATCCGGGAGGGTTGGATGTAACTTCAGTGACCCACCCGGCCTCGGCGAGCTCAGCAGGCGTCGAGCCAGAAGCGTTCTCGCGATGGAGGAGGTCCGGACGGCGTTCGAGCAAGATCTCCAGCGTTTGAAGGAGCTGGCACCGCACGGCATCGTGTATAACGGTGTTGCCAGCTCCGTCCAACAGTTCGAGATGCTTCTGGCCGGTACTTTGGGCAAAGTCCAAGATCATTCGTAGAGCTTTCATTTGGTTGTCGCCTTCGCAGTTGCTTCCATTGCCATAGACGGAGTAGGTATTCGTGGTGCTCAAGGCCCGCACCATCCACATTGCTAAGGGTGTCAGAGAGCCGGGCCCGTGTGACGAACGCTCGACGAGCAGGGAGGAAACCAGAGACGGATCAACCAGTTCGAGCATCTTCTGGAAGTCATCCAGCATTTCGGCCGGGGGGGAGCTGACACTGCAGAACAGAAGATGAAGGATGTTGTTACCCTTTTTGTTGCGCACGGTCTGGTCGGCCCCCGCCTCGATGAGGATTTTGGCATAAGTAGGACGAACAAGTGAGAATGCAATCATCAAGGGGGTATATCCATCAACGGACTTGACCTCGAGACAGTGAGGGACTTGTTGAACCAAGTACTTGACCAGTCGATTTGACTCGACCGTTGGCTTTGCGAAAAGAGCACAGTGCAGGACAAGATCGCCTGGCGGCAGTTAGCATCATATGTAACGTCTTGAACACGCCATGCAGGGAACATACGTCTGATATTCAACCAGTTTGTAATGGAACGCTCGATACCCAACTTTCCCATGGTGAGCTTCTTGATACGCTTATCATGCTTGTGTGACTCGGTAAACTCCAAATAGTATCGGCCAGGCGCAGTTCCCAAGAACCACTCCACTGCTTCGAGGTTTCCTTCACGCGCAGCAATCAGAAGGGGAGGTTTCTCTTCCTCAGGCTGTGCGGGAAGGATGCCGCGACCGGCAGCCGCCCAGTCCGCTCGCTTCTTGCCGTGGATGGACAGTCCTTGGTAGTATTTGGGCTTCTCCTTGATTTCCACTCCGCTCTGCTCCGCCAGCTTATCCAATTGAATGCCAGCCCCCGTACGTTTGATGAGTTCTGCCAGGCAGCGGACTCGTCCCAGCTGCATTGCCACAGTAAGATCCCACTGACCAACCGTAAAGATGGTCTGGTCGGAACTTCCGGACTTTGCAGACAGCTCCCGGCCGAGATCCAGAAGGAAGACCAGAAGCCTAACATCATCCTTGTAGATTGCGTACTGCACAAGATTGCAAGGCTTGCGCTCATCCGGCAGGGTTGTCCCCACGAAGTCTTCAGCCGAACAACCGTCTTTCAAGAGAGAAAGAGGCGAAGTCCTGCTCTCGACCTGCGTCTTGACCTCACCAATGTTGTCGATGGTGAATTCTTCATCGAGGATCTGCCTCTCTATATCGAGCCCGTCACTGTTGTCGTCGCCCTCGTCGCAGGAATAATCATCGTCATTGTTGGTTGTGGCTCGCAGTCTATACCGCACATTTTCTTGCTCGTCCTGGGGCTTGTACTGCACTTGTGCAATGGCGATGATCGCCTTCGCCACGTCCAAATGTCCACGTAGAACGGCAATATTGAACGGGTGGAAGTTTCTCTGGTCTTTCGTAGCAATCTCCAGCGGCGGCCTCTGCTTGTCTGGACCCCATGTCCCGAGGGTGAGTGATTTGATGGTCTCAAGGTCACCACACCACGCTGCCTCAAACCTAAACACAGTCAGCATAAGCGACGTGCAGCACACGGAAGGAATCGAAGGAGCACCTACAGTTGGATATAACCTTCCCTTGTGATGTCGTTGAGATCCGGCCTCCTGAAGTCAAAGGTCACTTTAAACGGATCAGGCTTGGTGACGCAAGATCCGTAATGATTCCTGCCGTTATCAGAAGACGTTTCAATGTCCGGAAACAACTGCTTGAACTCTCTGGCGCCTCTGGCAAGCAATTCCTCCTCGAGCTTCTCAAACTCGTTGAGAGCCAGTTGAACGGCCGCCTTCTTCTCCTCGACACCCTTGCGATTCGCTGCACCCTTCACGTCGTCGTCATAGAGCTTCTGCTCTGACTCGACACGGGAGTGGGCACTGCGGAGAGCGGCTTTGGCCGTCCACAGCTGGTATGTGTCTTCTTTGAAGGGGGATAGATAGTAGCTGTCCTCGTGCTCCAAGGGTCTGGGCGGCTCCCGGGTGTGAGTCTCGGGCTTGTACGCACGCAGAGCCTTCAGCTTTTCCCGCACACAATCCAGCAGTGATCTGCCGTGTCGGTAGCTCCTAGCGTGAACATCATGCTGCGTCTGGTACCCTTCCTTAGTCAGTGTATTGGGATCTGCGCCTCGGACCAGAAGCTTCAGGGCCACGGATGGCTGATCTTTGAGGACACTCAATATAATAGGCTGGGTCACATTAGCATCGAATCGTCTCTTCACTTGCTCGGAGGACTCGTTCCGTATTCCATCGATGTGCACCTGTGCTGACTTAATGAATTCGTCAAAGGCAATAGTCGGGCTCGCTTCTGCTTCAAGCAACTTCAAGGCTCCGATGACATTCCCCGATTTGATCGCCGTTGTCAGCGCAGTCTCGGCATTGGGGCTGAATTGCCAACCACTAGTAGCAATGTAGTTGATTGTCCGTTCGACTGCCGGACGGTCATGCTGCAGGTACGAGTCCAGCAACCCAGTGTATTTCGGAGAAGCCGCAATGTGAGCCACGGCAGTCTTCTGATCAAGGCCTGCCTGTGCCGGCGAGGCGCCCAGTTGTAGCAGCTTCGTCGACATCGCCTTCGCCTGCTCTATTGGAAGTTGGAGAGCCAAGACCAGGGTGAGGATGGCAGCTCGCGGGCTGTTGTTGTACTCGTGCAACAATTTGACCGGCAGAAGCACATCCGCGCCGAAAGAGGATACCAGTTCCTCAACAGCAGCGACGTGGCCATTCAAAATCGCGAGATGCAGAGGGGAGGCGTGACTGTCCCAAGCGATCACATTGATGTCATAAACGTCAGGGCCCTGGTCGCTTGAGTCATCGGACACCGAGTCCTGTGCGCTATCTGCATCCTTTTGGACTCTGACAAAAGAACCGGTGGCAAACGACAGAGCATCTGCCTCGCTCTCAGCGGAAGGATGACTGATGAGCTCGGCATCTTCCTCACCATCGTTGGCCTCTGTAACGGATGAGGCTCCCTTGCGCGACTGCTCTTTGCGAGCTTCTTCCTCCTCATTCTCCTCGCTCTTCATCAGCAAGATCCTGATTATCTCGGCGTGGCCTCGAGCCGCAGCGAGATGTAAGGCCGTGCGTCCGTCGGCCAGTCGAGCGATCAAACGAGCTCCGTGGTCAACAAGACACTGAACGATTTCGGGCGTGGAGGTCATGACCGCCAGATGCAACGGAGTGCGACCGGTAAAATCGCGACGGTTCACATCAAAGTCGTGCGACAGCCACTGCTTCACGCCTTCCACGTCGTTGTCGACGATCGCTTGACACAAGCCCGCTGTGTTTCCGACGTATGCCATTTCTGTCCAAGTTAGCGTTCGGACACCATAAAATCAGGGAACACTGACCAGTCCAATCGATTTCGGTGATAGGGTTGAAACTGCCAATCTCCTGGCGGCCGGGATTGTCCTGGAGGAATTTGATTCTGCCCGAGACATAAATCTTGCTCTCCTCCTCGGCCAATTCCTTCTCTTCCGGAGTGATGGGGACAGGACAAAAGCCACAGCAATCCTCGATCACGTCTTCAAAGTTGCCGAAGAAAGCCGGATGCCGATGCAGGTTGACCTCGCGGTCTTTGGGTTTGTTCCATTCCGCATTGAGCAGCAAATCCTTAGTGTAGAGCAGTTTCTCAATCTTTCGAGCGTGGAATCTTTCGCCATAAGGAATGGTCTGATGTGATTAGTCTTTGGCTTGCCGTCAAACAAGGCATTACTCACAAACGTATGGTAATCGGACACATCCTCTTCATCGACCCATTCAGGCACCTCGTCGTCCCAGTCATTCTTGATGTTGCCTCGCAGCTGCTTCGAGATTCGCATTGGAACCGGTCGGCCTCGCTCTCGGCGCCGCTTGTCGATGTAAGCATCCCGATCGGAAGGCTTCGGGAGCTTCTCCAGCACTAAAAGCCGGGCAAGGCCGAGCGTCCTGGTGAAGCTGCGCTCAAAAATCGTCTGTGTGAAAGTCAGTATCACTCGCAATGATTGGTCACGCGGCATACCGGATCAATTTTGGAGCGGTCCAATGATGGCCAGAACACCTCGAATCCTCGACGAGCGTACTTGGAAAGACGATTCTCGTACGACGGCGACCGTCTGGACAGATCCACATGGTTGATTTGGGTGACAAACGCACCGACCGCACGTGGTGCCAGATACACTTGGCTACCATCGTAAGCTGCGCACGAGCAGTCGACATCAAACCCGGTCAAAATCTCGGCGATGGACTTGTAGATTCGAAGGACGATTTGAACATGGCGTGTGGGGTACTGCGACACGATCGTGATGGCATTTTTTGTGCGAATGGTGGAAGTCTCAGCCAGGATCGAGTCCTTGATGCGGGTTTCGATCTGCTTGATCTTCTCAATGGCCTGCTCCTCCGTCAACCCATACAAAAACAGATCGACATCCGAGGCTGGAGCAAATTTCTGATGGTAGTATTCGCGCAGGCCGCGTTTCGAGTCCCCGTACTCCTCAGGAACGGGCAATAAAGAGGTGGTCACTGCACTTCCCGCTGCAACCACATTGCTCCAGTCAAGATCACTGAGCGCGCTCTCAGAGAACAGGTTGAAGTTGGTCTGGAACTGCTTGAAGGAGGATACCACGGCTGGGGACCCATTCGCTTTTCTATCCTCATCTTTCAGTGGCATCAAATACTTGGCCTTGAGCTGCTCTGGCTCCGAAACCAGATCACGTGCGCGAATCCGAAGATCTGCTGACCCACTGGCGTCGAACAGCGGCACCACATTGAGGAGGTTGTCTGCGACTGTGGGGTGGGATGGTTGTTGGGCGTAGATCTTGCGCAGGACTGCATCGTACTCGTTGTACGGCCGTACAAGATCGGGGATTGACTCTTGAGGACGAGAGTTGACGTAGTCTATGAAGGTGGAGTGCTTCGCGGGGACGGCGGGGAGGGTGTAACAGTCAGCCATGTTTGCTTGGTGAGAAATTGAGAAAGAGAGAGGATCGTTTGCAATGGTTGGATGCAGAGATTTTGGTTGTGAATATAATTCTCAGTGAGAATAAGAAGTGATGAAGACGACTGAAGCACGCAGTTTTAAGTTCTTGCAATCTCCAATTTTGTTGATCCTGATGAACACGAGTTGTGGAGCGCGCCAGGCAGCTTCCCGTTGTGGCGTCCTTGATGCCTGGGATATTTCCGAAAAAGGAAACCAGCTCTCAGGCAGAAGGCGGGCGCCTGGGGAACATCCGTCTGATTGGCCAAGACCCGCTGTGGGGGCTGAGTAGACATCCGAAGGTTCGTCTGCAGGGCATATCACCCGTACTTTACCATTTGCTGAGTTACAGGTTGATCTACGCGTCAACCATCCTATCCGGCCTCGCACCTGTGGAAGCATTCCAGCTTTTTGGAAGGGCCCGCAAAAGATCGAAGAAGCTGGTGAATGTCCAAGCTTGGGATGAGGCCTCACTGCTGCAACTCTGTCAGCCAGACCAAGTGCTATTTAGGCCGGAGGTAGATGGTCAGAGTCTGAGGCCCTCCCCTTCCGCAACCGCTGACCATGTATAAATTCAAACCAGGCACGACTCCCGTTGCTGATCTCCATAATGATACTAGTGGATCACCAATCCTGAAAGGTAGCGATGATCAATCCTTGCAAACCATACCGACCCGCTTGCTCGGCCCAGACGGTTTGGACGAGGATCTGATCAAATAGATTCTTCAGCCAAATCCACAGGAGCTGGCCAGCAAACGCCGGAAGCAAAAGAGTGTGAAGGCAAAGGTTGGCAGCGGCAAAACTCGGGTTCCAGTTCTGCGACCTAAGTCCGCGACTGAAGAAGTGAATGAATTAACGGTTTTGAAAGCTGCTGCTTTGCCATCAAAGGTGGAGAAGAGAACCAGAAAAAGGCAAATGCGGACAGTCCATGAATCAATCTCGAGTGTGAAACAAGCGGATATCTGAAGCAAAGCAGTTAATCGCCATACTTTGAATACGTTACATCTAACCCAGCCTCAACCAGCACCGTATCATATACATAGTGGTCAATCCATCTTGGCTGTATTTTACAGTACTTCCGGAAATCGGTGTCACCATCTACGCTCTTTCATTGTTTCTCAAAACCCTGATGCCAAGTAGGGCTAATCTATTTTTGGCGTAGTCAAAAAATTACCCTGGGTTGTAGGCCTTGTATCGTGGAGTACCGGATTATTGTATGGGGTGGATCTTTGTTTAATACCTGTCATGCAAAGGCAGCGGCTACCTCGATGCCTCACGACCAGCATCCCCACCACACGTCTTTCTCGACAACTCACCATAATAGTGGCGCAGTGAACCATGGCACCGAATCTTGCTAAATCCACGCTTGAGCTTATCCATGACATGATCAGCAGTGGTGAAGTAACTACCTCCCAGATAGCTCAAGCTGCTGGCTGCAGCAAACGCGCAATCCTCAGGATCCAGTCGAATCTGCGGGTTTTCGGTCCCATGAAAGCTCCTCCCCGGCCGCGAAGCATCACACCGGTCATGTTAGAGGCCTTGGGCGACCATCTGTCTGAGAAACCGGACTCCTACCTTTCTGAGATGGAACTGTTCTTGCTAGATGAATTCGACGTATCCATTCCCAAATCCATGATTAGCGACGCCCTGCATCGACAAGGGTGGTCAAAGTAGAACGCTCCACGAAAAGCTAAAGAACGGAATGCCGATTTGCGTGATGAATACGCTCATCTGATCTCGGAAATTTGCTCATACCATCTGGTCTATGTGGATGAATCGGGTGTGATAAGCGGACAGGGTTCAGACGAACCGGCTGGTCTCCTCTCGGTATGACACCGGTCCAAGTGTCCAAGTTCCACCGTGATCAGCCTTATCAAATACTTCCTGCATATGCCCAAGATGGTATCGTTCTGTCTCGAGTGTTCCGAGGGGGCATCCGTCTTCGAGGATTTTATTGAGCAGCTTCTTTAGCGTTGCGGGAAATGGCCAGTGCCGAAATCTGTAATAGTCATGCATAACGCATCTTTTCATCACTCCGAACGGATCGAGATTCGAGCAGATGTGTTCAGAAGTGGGTGTGAAGCTAGTGCTTTGCCTCCATATTCCCAAGACTTGAATCCGATCGAAGAGTTCTTTGCTTAGCTGAAAGCTCCTTATTCGCCGGAATTGGCAGGCATACGAAGATAATCGAGGCCAGGGATTCGACACCTTTCTCGAATGGTGTGTTGACACAGTTCGTGCAAGCACGGAAAGCGCAGAGGGACACTTCCGCCATGCGGTTCTGACCGTTGAGGATATATAGCGCGGGTACCATAGTAGCTTAAGATCCTGCAAATCAGCTTAGAGGAATTTCTTTGAGGAAACCGATGATATTCTTGGGTGCTCGCACGGGTCACATCTACATACCTTGTTGGGAAGGATATCTGCGCATTTCTCAACTGTATGATTGTATCACGTGACTAGACGAGGCTGAAGGAGGTCTGCCCGCGCCCTTGCTGTTCAAGGAGGAAGCAACAAAATCCCAAGAGGCCAAGCCCTTGAAAGTCTTGCCTCTACCCAATACGTATCTCAATACACATCATGAACTCGGAATGTCTGACCCAAGGAAGTATACAGTTGGTTGGATTTGCGCCATCACCACTGAATATGTTGCCGCTCAAGCTTTTCTCGATGAACAGCATGAAGGTCCGAAGTATTTGTCGTCTCACAACACAAACGATTACACCTTAGGCAGAATAGGTACCCATAATGTGGTGATATCTGTCCTACCCATGGGAGAATACGGCACGTCTTCAGCAGCACGAGTCGCAGAAAACATGATGCATAGCTTTCCAAATATTCGAATCGGTTTAATGGTCGGCATCGGAGGCGGAGCCCCAAGCCCAAATCATGACATTCGCCTTGGGAATATTGTGGTCAGTGTTCCTTATAATGGCCGAGGTGGCGTGGTTCAATACGACTTCGGAAAGACAATTCAAGGCCAAAGCTTCCAGCCCACAGGTTTCCTCGACCAGCCACCTACCGTCCTCCGTGTAGCGGTTAACGGACTTCGATCTCGGTATGAGATGGATGGTCATCGACTTGAGGAAGCAGTCAACAAAGTTCTCGTGAGAAAGCCAAGGTTACGGAAAAGATATGTGCGGCCCGATCTTAAGAGCGACCGGCTGTACCACAGTCATGTCGTGCATCCGCTAGAAAGTGGGGCAACCTGCACTATCAATTGCGGTGATGATCCAAGCAGCTTAGCCTTTCGGAACCCACGCTCTCAGGATGAAGACAACCCCGCGATACACTACGGCTTGATCGCATCAGCCAATCAGTTAATGAAGGATGCCCTGATACGCGACAGAGTAGTCGCAGAAAAGGGCGTTTTATGCTTTGAAAAGGAAGCGGCCGGGTTAATGAATCATTTTCCGTGTATAGTGATTCGTGGCATCTGCGACTACTCCGATTCCCACAAGAACGAAGAATGGCAAGGATATGCGGCCATGACTGCTGCTGCGTATGCCAATGATATCCTAAGTCGAATTATCTCTCAAGACGTGGAGAGGGAAGAGGGGATTTTAAAAATCCCACCGCTCATTAGCCATGTCACCGAGACCAACGGCCATAACGACTGGAAATTACCACAAGTTGAGGAAAGATTGGGCGCAGATTCCGAGGCCATCGAAAACCATTCGGGTTCGGTTGTGTCGGTGGCCTTCTCGCCTGATGGCCGGCTTCTGGCTTCCGGCTCCGACTATAACACAACAAGCATATGGGACTCTGCGACGGGCGTGCTGCAACGGACTCTCGAGGGTCATTACATTAGAGGTTGGTCGGTTTGGTCGGTAGCCTTCTCGCCTGACGGCCGACGACTGGCGACCGGTTCCGGCGATAACACAGTACGCCTATGGGATCCTGCGACGGGCGTGCTGCAACGGGTTCTCGATGGCCATACCGGTAGAGTTTACTCGGTGGCCTTCTCGCCTGACGGCCGACTGCTGGCGTCTGGCTCTCTTGATTACAAAGTGCATCTCCGGTACCCAGCGACGGGCGCATTCACCCAGACTCTCGAGGGCCATTCGGGTGGGATTCGCTCGGTGGCATTTTCGCCCGCAACGGGAAAGTTTATCCAGGTTCTCGAGGGCCATTCAGGCGGGGTTCGGTCGGTAGCATTTTCGCCCGACGGCCGGCGGTTGGCGTCAGGCTCCGAAGACATGACAGTACGCCTCTGGGGCCCTACGAGGGGAGGTACTGCGACAGACGTGCAGTATCGGAGGATTTACCGCTGCCATTGAGTTTTCATCGACACTTCGTGTCAGAGGACGGACTTGGACTTCCTTCATGTTCAGTTTAGCGTGGCAATCATACTCATGGTTTAACTCCCGTGAATATGGAGATATCCATAGAGCAAGAAGCAGTTAATAACACCAAGCGACGAAAAGGTACAGTACTTTGGCCCCAGGTCTCGGCTTAGATGTTTCGCGATAAACAGTAGTATACTTTATGTTGAATCATATTACCGCCTACCTAATCGGGATAAGATTCGACTGATTTATTCGACTTCAGCACTGCCTCAGATGATTGCGTTTGTTAGATATCGAATATCATATCGAAGGTATAAATATCGAGTAGATCGTCATTCGTTTAGAGGAATCAGACCTTCCTTCCATTCTGATTTGCCATGCAAATTACTAGTAAAACGGAAACTTTACTAGCGCAACTGATTTCAACAACTTACCTAAGTTCGAGGACACATCGGAAGCGGATCAAAGATTCAAAGATCTCGTAAGAAGATTAATACGGAACATTGATATTCCGGGTATGCTCATTATAGACTAGTGGCCCTTGGCATTAGGGTTCGCGAAACAATGAAAGAGTGGAGGTCGTGACACTGATTTCCGGAAGTACTGCAGGAGCTCTCCGGTCTAAAGAATAATGTTTTCTGCTCTTTATTAAGGTAATGGTTCCAAGCCAATCATCGGTTCGAGTTGGTTACACATACATGGTATGACGCGGTAAACGTACGAAAATAGCGTTAGTGAGCTGGGAATCCAATGGATGTGGATAGATTGCATTGGTAAATAAGCCTGTATACCTCTAAAATTACGCTCACATACGATAGATAGCCATGGATCTAATTCCGAGATATCCAACCGTATGGGTCATGGAAATCACTACCGAGAGCTGCTAAGTTGCTACTTGTACGAGAAACGATTTTTGGAGAGATACATTACAAGGGGTCTACGAGTCTCGGCGTATTAAATTCTGTATGTAAAATAAGCCAACATTACAATCATGCCTGGCTGCAGGAATATACCTGTAACAGTAAACAGACATCGTCACAGGCAGAGTTGGAAAGACGCAGGATTCACCTACCGTAAAGTTGCCTGTAATGTACTAATTCGTGTTGTCAGATTTTCCTCAATATATATAAGACCACAAATTCAGATTCAAGAGAGCAAGTACCATTCTGACCAGATCAGGTCTAACTGACAATCTAGTTGGTTTGTCACTGCAAAGATCATCATGGGGAAATTCTCACACGTCTTGATGCGTGAGTAGTTCTTCTATGTCTACATAAGAGTTGCACTAATGAGCATAGCCTGGCGCCGTGGGGCTAAATACGAAAGCCGTGGGAAGCGGATTACTCAAAATGATCCTCCCGAAAGAATCCCTGCTAGAGGAGCCACACAAAAGTGTTCCCAGAACTTTCAACTGGTTCTCCGCCCTAAAGAAAAGCCGTCAGACATAGATCAGAAGATTTTCAAACCAGATGGGACACTGAGGCCTGGATGGAGGGTAGAAATTGAAAGGGTTCCGACCAAGCGTGGCTGGGAGTATGTCTATGTCCATTTAAAGACAGGAGGGTCGTACGCGGATGTTGATTTGATTCGACGTCGCGGCGATTGGAGGGAATTCAACGAGGAAATGAAACAGAAGGCGTTGGCTAGCAAATTTACGCCATGCTACGGAGGCGGAGGCGGGTTTCCATGGTGAACAAGTAGGTACTATATATGTACAGCATTATAAACTGCAGAGACTTTAGTGAATAGCACCTAAATCAACAAAGCAAGTAAGGGCAGATCTTGACTTCCTCACCCATCCATATGTGGCCGAGCGAGTAGTAGTAATCCCCAGAACCACGATGAGATGCCTGCCCATCACTAGATAGATGCAAAGCTGGTTCAAGGCTGCACCAGAACGGGTACAGGGTAGATCAGCTGTTTACAAATAGCCACCGCGGAAAGGCATGCGGAATGGATGGAGCTTGAGCAAATGACTGGACGATTCCAAAAATGGATGGCGTGCAACTCTTAGAGAGTTGACCTGGAGCAAAGATATTGGCATCACCCACGTGTGACCAACCTCGTTGGTGAAACAAATGTGCACTGCCCAAGGGACGCCACAACGCTGCTCCGTGGTAGTAGGTAATGCTCAATCAATCTTCGCATAAATGCGCGGTTCTCAGTCTGGTTTGATTCTGTTCCAAGTTACCTCACTAACAAACTGTCAACGATAGTTGCTGGGCAGTATCCGTGTCTTCGTTCTAATCCCATATTTTTGCTTTTGTATTCCACTCAAGGTCTCAGTATTCAACACTGGCTATGCTCCTCATTGCGGCAAATTTGGGCACAGTCACAGACATATCTTCATTCGCTCGAACATCGCAGGCCTTTTATCATCAGCTCATTGATTTCCTCTACAAAATTAGTCAGGAGAATGGCGAACGACAGCCACTTCTATGGGCCTGTTCTGAAGGGGAGGAACGGACTCTGGAGCTTGCAATCCGAAATTTCAAAAAGGGCAGGATCAATATTGATGTATACGGGAAAGCCCTTGCTCAGGCAAGTGCGAATGTGCATTCGAAGATAGTTTCGACTGTTCTCCAAAAAGTCAAAACCGTTCTCCTCTGTGATGACTGGGTGGATGCGGCCCTCTGAGAGGCAGCGAGACACAGTCACCAGCGTGTTGTCCAGCTCTTAGCTGAGGAAGGCGCAGATATTGACGTATGTGATCTTGACGGCACTCCTCTCATACATGCTGTTGCTGGTGGACATGGAGATGTGGTTGAACTTTTGCTCAAGAACGGAGCAAGTGTTCACCGCACAAATAAAATCGGGCGGACCACTCTTCATGCAGCTGCTAGCAAAGGCGACGTCAAGTCAGTCGAAGCTCTGATTAAGCATGGAGCTAAAGTCGACGAGGAAGATGGATACGGCCGTACAGCTCTGTTTCTGGCCGTATTCGGTCATAAGGATGTGGTTGAATATCTGTTGAACAAAGGAGCAAAGGCCCACCGCAAATATTGTTGCGATGACACTGCACTCTAATTGGCCGAGGAGTGGAAGACTGAAAACGTCGCTAACTAAATGGCTGGACAGCTGATATAATGTGCCTCCGCGGACGGTAAAGCAAATGGCGTGTTGTTGTTGAGGGCTTGGACAGCCTGACAGTTTCCGAAGAGAATAGTCACCCTGGCGAGATTGGTAGTGTTCGCTTAAGTGCCACTGCCGCCGCTGGCGTTTGATAGTCGTTCCTACTTCGACATCGGCCTCCGGGGGTTCTCAGTTATCTAATTTAAGGCACAGTACTCGATCACCCTAGGAATCCATCATAGTACACTCGTCAACAGGCATCATTGGCCAACAAAGTAAGGCAGCCAATTCTAAATTGAAGCCGAGATTGTCTTGAGACATCTCTCCGCTCGTCAAAAAGGCGCCTTGTTTATATCCAAAGACCAGGCGCGTGCACGAGCCATTTGCTCCCTTCTCCACCCAGGCTGGAATGATATAGTCCCCGCCCTGGTTGTAGATTTTGGACAAAGGCCATTGGTGCAGGCTCGTGCTTTGGCACCCGTCTTCTCAAAGCACGGCCTTGTGTACCACTCGTTCTACTGCTTTGGTCATACAAGGCTCTATCGTATGGATGGGGGCCAATACCCTGTTATCTTCATAGAAGGGTACTGGGGAAATCTCCCATAGTCTCGATCCAACACAGGACGCCTCCCAGTCCATGGTCCTGGTCGAGTCGGCCGCCATCATGGAGTACTTACTCGATCATTTCAGCGGACCCAACACATGCCTCGTTCCCGAGCGCTATCAGCCCGGTCGCGAGGGCCAGCTGGGCGGCGAGACCGAGTCCTGGATGCGCTGTCGATACTACATGCACTATGCAGAGGGGAGTTTCATCGATCCAGGTGCAGCTGATCATGAATGGGATTTTGTTCCAGCACTATTCCATCATATATATGCTGATGAAGCCAGCAATGAAAATGTCCCCGACCCCTTCTTTATCAAACCCATCACTGGGTTCATCACCGGCAAAGTGAGCGTCGAGTTCCTCGAGCAAGAGCTGCGCACCCATTTCCGCTTCCTCGAGGACCGTCTGGCGTCTGCGCCCGAGGAGAGGCCGTTTCTGTGCGGTTCGCAGCTGACCGCGGCGGATATCCAGATGAGCATCCCGGTTATTGCGGCGCTCAATCTGTCTATCATTGCTCGAAAGGAGTATCCGCGGCTGGATGGGGCGATTCAGAACTCGCAGGGTTACCGACGAGCTGTAGAGAAGGTGGAGAAAATTGAAGGGAAGCCTATTGTGCCGATCTAGTTGTCATATAATGTAGCCTTGAGAGTTAATGCAAGATTAGTTACAGGCAAGAATGGATATGTTTGATAGATGAAGCCACGACTGGGATGATCCGGGAGAGCCACATGGCAGAGGCAGCCATTTGTCACTGGGGCAGTAATGGATGAGAAATACATTGTACGCTGACGTGCCTTCTTCTGGAATAGTCCATGCATGAGAGTGTAGCCCGCGTCAATGGAAGTCTACAGATGCGAAAGACCATATGAAAGTCAAATAGAAGCATCTGTTGAGCCAGGATTACCAGAGGAAGAACCAGAATGAACTATGGTATTGTCGTCGTCAGAGTCTCCGTCACGGTAGCCGTCATAGTATATACCGAGCTCGTCATCGTCGCCACCGGACAATTAACCAGCGGCTTAATACTCGTCAGCCACCCAGCCAGCATATCTGGATTACACCCCATGGGCGGTCCCGTCTTAATATAACACGGCAAAATGTCAGACCATCACACCTGACCGTCCCACCATCTCCTGGGCTGGGCGCGGCGGCATTCGTATAGATACAGTTCGTATACTTTGTCGATAGCACATCCAGGATCGAGAAGAACGTGACGCTCTGCGGAATATCTGACCATGTCTTCGGTCGCGGCGAAGCAGCCCCGTACTCCGTCGAGAATTTCCTTTCGCAGATATTGCGCGTCTCCGAGACGCTGTAGAAGTCGAGGTCGTAGTCGCTGACTGGGAAGTTGCGATACCCTAATTGCCAGGCGGCTGCCATTCCTACCACGCCTAGGCTCGCAGCGTATGTGGTAGTTAGTGTCTCTGTCTCGATCACCACCTTTGTGATTGTCGTAACGGTGCCACTGCCGCCGCCACCGCCGCCGGCGGATGTTGGACCGGGGCCGCTAGTGATTGGTCCGGAGGTGGAGCCAAAGTGCACAGAGCTGTAGATTGAGGAGCCTGCAGCCCAGTCAGCGGCTACGTCGCTGGCCGTGTAACCCGCATCGGACCAGGTCTCGACGGTGCATACCAGGATGGGTGGTAGGGTATAGGTGCTGACTATTGAAGTGCCGGTTGTGTCGCAGCCCATGATGTCTAGAGAGTTAGCCAGGAAAAGCACGAGAACTTGAGGGGTTGAAGGGAAGGATAAGGTACCTCTGCACGTTGATGAGCACGAACTAGTGGAGGATGCTGTGATACATGCCGTGCTGCAGGAGCTATAGGTTGCAGTTGAGCATTCAGACATAGAGCTTGATGGATCATCATTGGGGTCATCATCATCCGGTGTATCGTTCGGGTCATTCGGGAAGTCATTTGGAGCTGTTCTAGTTAGAAAGCGCAATCAGGGATAAAGAGGATGATGCATACAGTCCAAACCCCCCACAGTCCGTCCAGCAAGGTTTACACACGTGAAAGACTCTGTTAAGGAGTCCACCAAGGCCCTTATGACACCCGCCGCCACAGATCTTGCGGTCAGTGCATTTCGGCTTGGCCGCTTGGGTGGGCCTCTGTGATGCGTCACATGAGGGTAATCAAGGTCATGGCTCCCAGTCGTCTTTGACCCTCCGCCAGTCGTGGTAGTTGACGTTGACGTTGACGTCGGGCTCGGAGTCGAGCTCGGCGGCTCCGGTGTCCACGGGGGTGGATAGAAAGGCACGACAGTCCCGGGGTAGGTAGTGGAATTACGTACCAGAGGCGACCAGGTAATGTTGAAGGCACCCTGAATGATGCTCGGAATTGGTATGATGACTGAAGACGTCACGTTAGGTTCAATGGCAACGTCCCAGAACGAAACCACAGGGGTCACGACATCCGGAATCGCGAGTGGTCATCGTAGTGCTCATAATGTACGTGGTCGTGGTGGTAGTATTCCCCAGGTAAACGTAGGCTGTGGGCACCTCATAGCCAACACGAATGTCAGTTACCAGAGTCGGATACACAAACGTTGTTGGAGTTGGCAGCGTTGTGGGAGGCAATATGTAGGTGCACGGCGGGTAGCAGGAGATATTCCTGCCATCGTCTGGTTCACTCCATATAACGGGATCAATATAAACCGCTCCCGAGTCATCGCCGTCAGATCCAATGTCTCCACCACCGGTTGACAGGGACAGCCACGCCGCAATCTCGCTGGTGAATCCATTCCGCGTTGTGGCGTTGAATAGTAATGCGGGCAGACCTCCCTCAGGCGACACGATCTCCACGTTGCCTTTGGTGAAGATGTTGTATATCCACAGTCCCTTTGCATAATTGGTCTGGATGAGGGACTGCTGGCAGTGCTCGTCGGATACGCAGCTCTCGTCGTAGCCCTGGAAGAAGGAATAGAATCCCGCCGAGTAGATGAAGACATCGGTTGAATTGAGGACTCATAGCGCCCACGCGCCCCGACAGAAGTCATCCGAGCAGTCCAGGTAAGTTGGATCTGAGGGAAAGTTATTCGCCGTGTAGGGCGAGAGGGCATTAGGCTTGGGCTGGTAGTACGGTGTCTCTGTCTGCATATGACCCATGTAGATATTTGCTGCATTCAAAAGCTGGTACTGGTACATTTGTGCATGCTCGCTGGCCGTGCCGTAGAGCCACGTTGGCCCCTGAGACTCGATAAGTATGCCCCGTCCAACGTAGACTGAGATATCGGTAGCGGCACGCCAGCAGGGCTTTCGGTGGCAAGCGCATTCAGAGGACTGTCTAAGTCATGGTCTGCCACCCACGCCCAACATTTTCAAAGTAGCCTGACGCATCGCTGGTAATGTGCATCAACATCGAGGCACCCATGCACTTTTTGTTCACCGCGTCCCCTCCGATGGGACAATTGGCAAGACCCAGATTGCTGCCGTTGGCGCCACCGACGCGGAAGCGACTGTCCCACATAGCGGCTATAGAATGTCAGAACGCGGTGCACGTGGAATGAACCGGGGGGAAGGGCCAGAACTCACCGCTGCCTTGGTTACTCCCGTGGACATTCCATTCCATCAGGGCTGCACCGGCCGTGGCTCCCTTGACGGTGAAGAGCATATCCGTAATCTCTACCACTCCCTGGTCCCCCTTCTGACCCACCCGGACCACGACGTTGGGTTTACTCTCGTCCTCGAATGCGGATCCAGTCCCCATAATCTGACTCCAACCGGAGCCAATAATCTTGCTCCCGACGGGAATATGGACGGTGCTTTCGACCAAGTATACCCCAGCGGGAAAGAAAATGACAGATGCCCGGTAGCTTGATAGGAGTTCACTAATGGCCATGGCCTGGTCTCCTGTGCCGTCGGTGGCCACGACAGGAGTCTCGCCCACATACTGCGGCTTTGGCTTGCGGAAAAAGGCGCCGGAGCCGTCCACCAACAGAGATGGTTTGATTGGCGCGGGATTAATAAACCCATTTGATTTACCTGCGGAACCATCGGGCAGAAACCGATACCCACTGACCCAGGAGTTGAAGTAGAGCGCGCCGGTTGAGCCAGGCAGGATAGTCTCTCCGCCGGAGATGAGGACAACGGATGCCGGGTTCTCGATGAGCAAATTATCAAGGACAATGTTCGGCTGCTCATCTGCCGTGTGGGCAATGGTGATGGCATACGGGACCCCATTGAAGTGGGAATCCACCACCGCGATGGAGCCCGTTCCCTGATTGCCCACCCCCGAATACTCGGTAGCGTCGATAGCGATATAGCATGACAGAACGTAGATGTTCTTCCAAGTGAAGCCCCAATTCCAGATGGACTTGATGGCCGTCAGACAGGAAGTGAACTGGAGGTTGATGGCGGTAAACTGCTGACTACCAGCGAGGAAACCTATATTTCTAGCAGTCATTCATTCTCCGATTAGCCAAGGTCTACTGACCAATCGCAGTGAGTGTAAGCAAAGACTTACCCGCCTGTAAAGGTCAGATCGGACACCATCCCACCACTGCCATTCTCCATGTAGATACCCACGGCTGTCGCCGAATGGTCTGCCGTGGAGACGGCCATTCGAAATAGCAGTTGGTGATGGACGTCGCCTGGCCAACCTGCCAATGGACGCCCGCTGGACATATGTCTGATCCTTGTCGGTGTTGGTCCAGTTCATTCCGGTCATATCAAAGACGAAATTGCGGATCGGCCGGTAGAAATTACTCTGATTGATATACTATTCAGCCCCATTGCCGCCGGGGATGTAAAAGTCCGTATCGACCAGCGCAATGCCGGTGAAATTCTTCGCGCCCTTAATTACAGGCTTGAGGGTGGGATTGCCCACGAATTGCGTGTAATAGTACTGTACGATGGGCGTGCTGATGGGGTATGTCCCAGCAGGAAAGTATACCACGGCACCTAGCGCGGAGGTCGAGCCACACTTCTCCCCACAGCGCAGGGTCGAATGGTCCGACGAGCTGAACGCTGCCACGGCCTGGCTAATGGCCGCTGTGTTGTCCGTGACCCCGTCTCCGACGGCGCCAAAGTCCTTGACGTTACGAAAGAATTGGTACCCGGCGGAGGCGAAGGGCATCGATCCCGCCCTCCCTAGACTTGACAGCCAGTAGTCGTCACTACTGACTTTTGCAGCAAGAATCAGCCCGTGCCTCTCGCCATTCACCGTTGAATTCACTGGTCCAAGCACAGGGCCCGTCATGGAGCCATGATCTGGCGTGCTACCGAAGAAGTTGTTGACATTGTCTTTCATGTAGCTTGGCGCCGGCTGTATATGTCAGCCATTGTTTTGCTCCGCTAGAGAGAGGGTATCGACTGACCTGAGGAGATCCAGGCGGCAGTGCAGGCGTATCTCCCACTAACACCGGTGGAGCGAGCACATCAATTGTGCCCAGCAGTCTTGTACCGATGTAGGGCTGAACCATGTCCCGCTGGACAGGTGGATGGTGGAAACGGCCGCGCTCATGGGCGTAGTGAGAGTGATCATGGGCATAGGCAAGGCCTAGCCACAGCAGTCTGAGACACTTGATTAGCATAGTCGTTCAATTTCTCAACTATGACTGCTCTTCTGGCAAGCCCGGGAAGTGAGACATTAAATGAAAAAAAAAAAAAAAAAAACAGAAGGGGGGGCTCCGCAATCATTCTGAGCTCGTAGGACCGGGTTGCCTCTCGATGGCTAAATTGGATAATGAGAAAGGCTAACCCTCCTAGACCAGGTATGCTTAGCGCTGTGCTATCTCCAGTACCTTGCAGCAGTCAGGAAGCTAGTGAGCAGGGTCCTATTCGCGCAAGCTAAGCCAAGAAGGCTTGTCCAGGGGTCTATATAGCGTCGGGCTATTGAAGGCCTGAAATTGCGAGGTTGCATTCGCGTATTTTCCATGTGCCAAGATACAGTCGTCTGATCATCTAGATGCGCCATATTAGTGTTTTACAAGGATATCGGCAAGAGAAAGCAGTTATATAGAACTCTGCAAGCTAAAAGCAAGGAGGAAAGACCGTCCGTTCCAATTGAATTCTTATCTCAAGCAGAAGAGATTGACTCTTTGTCGGGTGCATGCAATGATCCTCCCACGGCTAGTACTTTCGCCAGCACTGCTGCTCGCCATCATAGCAATCATCAATGGCCATGGCCAGCTGGACTGGGCTGCTAGAAGAGAGCTGGGAGACATGTTTCGCTACTCAGTTGACCCGAATGCACACGGGGGCCACTGCAGCGCCTATGGCGAGGCTAAGCTGAACGCCCTCTTCGACGATGCATATGTGTTAGCGGGTACTGCAATCCAAGCAACGCTCGATCTTGAGGATGCAACCGCGAAAACGACAGACGAAGCGACACGCCTGATAAACACGCTGTTCTTCCGGCCATCAGAGGAGGATCTGGCAATTATCCAAAGCAAGTGGCCACACCACATTCATGGGGAAGACATAGAAACTAACTGTCCTGGACAGACAGAATGCACGGAGTGAGGAATTGGATGGAGGTCGGTGGCCGAACCAATAATGGACAGAACAGACGTCGTCCCTTTCTCTTCTGCGGGGACAAGTGGAGGGTTCGCGAGACCATGAGCACCCAGATGAAAGACGCCAGCGGCAACCCCATGTTCAAGGAGAACGGCGAGCCATATCTCATCAAGGATAGCAGGGAAATAAGGAATCGTCGCAAGGAAGCCGCACAGGAGTGGAATAAAGACCCCAAGTTTATTTACCCGGTACCTGTCCTGCTCGGAGCAACATTGTTAATTGCTGATGGAGAGATAGCACTGGAGTGAGGCCCTTATGGCTTACGTCTTCGATAAAAAAATACGCTGAAGATCCCACGCTCGGTCCTTGTACGAATGTCGACGGCGTCGTCGCTTTTACCTTCAATGAAGGGTCTTTCGGCGCCATCACACTTTGCATTGATCATAAGTACTTCAAAGCTGGACGATTACGGTCCGTCGAAGCCTCAGCACTCCCAAGCAAATTATTCGAAAATAACCAACCACCTTCCAACAAAGATGAAGTCCAATCTATCTCTAAAGTGGTTCCGGCCGGACGGATTGCATATCACGAATTATTTCATCTGTATTGGGGCTCAGAGATGGATGGTGTTGAGGAATACGACTCCCAGCGGATGGCTGGAAATAAGCTCCGAAAAAACGGCAAGAGGTTCACAAAGTCCAAAGCCATGAAGAATCCAGAGACCTACGCTCTGGCTGCGTATGTACTACTTCTCTTCTTCCCTTGCGATTGTGGTTGTATGCACTAACAATATTGTATGCATGGCAGGGTCGCCTATGATTATACTCTGCATGTCACCCATACTACAAAGAAGGGGACATACCCAGTCGAGTTCTACACAGGGTTCTGTACGTATGAGATGTGAAAATACCTGGACAGCTGTATCCGGATAGGTAAAAGGTGGAGGTACTCCTTGGAGGAAGTCACGTGTACTGAGTTAAATGGTAGACTGGTTCGAATGCATCATATGCTCGATTGACCGACTAAAATCATTCGTAATCATCATCTATATACCGTAAGTTCTGCTTCTATCCTCTTGACTCAGAAAGGTATACCATCGTCGGTAGTACTCGACTGGATCGTCAAGGGCCTGGTGCGACCATAATCCTAGCTGCATCATCCGCTGCTCCTCCCAGAATGCGAATCCATAACGAGCATAGGGGTGGAACTGCATATACTTGGCCGGTCCGGCTGGAGGATCCCCACTCATACTGCGCCAGAATTGGATACCGAGCGGTTCTCGATCAAGGTCTTCCCACTCCGGACCCCGCAGGGACTGGGACCCATAATCACGAACCGGTCGAGGCGCATAGGGGAGCGGCCGGCCCCGGTTATAAAATTCATCTGGAGGAGACAGGGTGGGGTCTCTATATATGCAGATATTTACGCCTCTTCTAGGGCCATCCCAGCTTGTGTCAGAGCCCGAGTCTGAGCTTGATTCTTCGTCTTCTGTGTCTTCCTGGAAGTCCTCAGCGGTGCTCCATTCATTGTCGTCAGACGATACGTCCTCGGAGTCTGTTCCGTAGAAAAATCGAGCTGGTCGCCTAGGTGGCTGTATGGCTTCACCTGTCAAGTCCGGACGAGACTGAGACGGAGACTCGCGGCTGTGGTCAAGACTGTGTTCAGGACTTGATCCCGCCCTGAGATCATGGCTAGGGTCTTGGGCTGCCTCTGGGCTAGACTCATCGTCCCCTCTTTGCTGAGGGTGCCCTGATTGTTTTAGGGGGAACATGACAGCTAAATCATGGTCACAGTCTTCAAACGTCCGACCCTGGGTAATAGCTTTTGATGAAGGAGGAGGCTCGCAGACCCAGTCAAACTCTACCCAATCAAACTCACTGGGCATGCTCGGCAGTGAAAAGGAATCTCGAGCCGGACTCTCGGAGAGGTCAAAGGACCTTTCAACCGGTGAGATCTCAGCAATGAGACCCAAAGCTGCAAACCCCTGTAAGAGCGGAGCATTGTAATGATAATGATCATGGAGATCGCTCCGGGCCAGTCGTTCTAGCTGATCTATGGACCATCCCAGTGACCCCTTTGCACCTTCAATCTTGAGTTGATTCCAGAATAGTAGGCGCCAAAATGCAAGAACAGTCCTTTGCTCTTCTGTCCATGTGGGAAGCCCAAAGCCTGGGGGATACTGTCGTTGGCCTAATGGACCCTCAAGACATCGCTGGATCATTCGTTCGATGCATAGATGTGCCAGGACATGGATATAGTGGGAGAGATAGACAAACTTGCGCAGCTGTGCCGACGATGCTATAATCCTATTTGCTGGTCGGATGCTACTGCTCATGAAATAACGGAGGACGTCGCTTTATTTTTCCCATTGAGAAAAGGTGCCGATGTGCATGGTGAGGATTCCCTGCATAACGATCCGAGTCTGGACAGGCACAACTAAGAGCATAACGCCAGAAACAATGTCACAGGCTCCATCATTAAACACAGATAACATCATTTTCGATGTGCGCATGAGACTCCACACCGAGGAAAAATCGGCACACTGCTGAAAGATGGTGACTAAAATCTCGCTGGGCAGTTGGGACAGCCGATCAAGGCCTGGGCCATGCGACTGCCGAGACATTCCCATTGATCAACAGTTGTCTGGTAAAACAGAGTAGATGAGCAGCTGAAAAGGTTTGATCGTATGAGGTTTTAAGATTGGTGTATGAGTCACTCCAAGGCGCCAACCACACGTGACATTCATTCACAAGAGCCACAGAGTCTACTGCAAATATTCTCCCCTGCGAATGCAATATCTGCGGATTAAATTTGCAATCCACGATACGAGTTTCTCACATGATGCTCCGATTGCTGCCAAGAGGTTATCAAACAGAAGGCGGCCGGGTGTGCAAGCCCTCGAATGGTATGTTCTTCGTGGCCAACTCAACTGTCAAAGGCACGAGATGAGATGGGTGGGAAATATCCCTGTCTTTGGTTACATTGGGACGTGAGAGAGGCCATGCCAGCGTAGGGGTCCAGAAGACTCACTGTACGATTTAGTGAGAAAATGTGGATCGACTAGGGTTCACAGCCTCACAATCACTTCATCTCGGAACCAGCGGCAATCATCGCTGCGCCGATGGGCTTCAGATTTCAAATCTTTTCAAGACGGGTGATTTGGAAGTCAACAATTAACTAGTATTGTAGTCCATTTGGTGCTAATACTGATGGTCAGTCTGGCGGTGCCGATGACAAGACCGTCCATCTAGACGGCGCTATCCTTGTAGACCTGCCTATTCATAATGAAAGTGTCTGCAGGGTTCTTCCTAAGTACGGACTTACTGGTTTTGCTCCTATAAGCCATGAGGATCCAGTGGTTCTCTCACAAAGCGGTGATAAAAATTAGAAGACAAGCAGATTACTGCTTATAAGAATATCTTAGGGGGATACTTGTTATCTTCATGAAGAATGCTGTCTCCTTAGCCCTGTGGCCATAGTCTAGGTTACTGAGAGGCTAGCTGGAAATAAGAACCAACTGCCGGTCCTTTGTCTGAATTTATCTAGAGGTGGGAAGTCTCCCCTGTTCCTTACTATGTATACTTATTCTCCAGGCAATATAAACTTGCTGTCCAAATTATGAAAGCCACCCTCAGGAGATTATCCAATCTAGACCTTAGAGATGTACTTAAAGAAGCAGTCCCTCTAGAAGACCAAATAAACTCTCTAGAATTAGTTTAAGTTAACCTTGCTATTAAGCCCAGTGATATCTTAAGGGTTTGTATTAGACAAGCATAGCGACATGTCAACACACGAAAATAACTACTATAGATTTCAAGGAACACCTGAATATAAGGGCTTGTTGACGGTGGCATGGTGTAGAGCTCCTCAACTGATCCAGACGAAAGAAGAAGACAAAGAAAGACACTTATGATCCATGTCAGGAAGGAGTAAGATGAGGACCCCAGAATCTCCTGAATGCTTCTCATTTAATTATGTCTGGCTCATGAGAGCGCCTAGCAGTAATTTGCGGAGGGATCAGCTTGTGTATAAACAACCCTTAAAATATGATAGCTTGTCAGGGAGATGCATTCCCACGTTCTCCATTGTTGCGCTCAGATTTTAGGATTGCTGTAATAGGATACTAAACTCTATCCTCCATCAGGGAGGGCACTGTAACACAGTCATATCCACCAATGGTATTTGCCAGGCCTGATCACTGCCGGTTTTCAGAGTCTCCGCATTTTCCGGGAGATTCACTATAGAATGGCATGCCAGCCTCAATTCTTGAGTGTTAGAGGCCCTGGTAATGCTGACTTTTATACCTTGATGCCATGTTTATATTTATTTCCACAATTGGATTTCAACATTATCACCCAATTATCAGGACTGTGATTTTCCTTGTCGACACTGGTTGTGTTCTCTGTACCTTTATTGATCAGCGGTTAGCGTTATTTTTGGAAGCTACTGGGCATGATGATTTCGTCTGGTCTAACTCTTTTCTCAGCCATCAAGGGGGCTACAACCGCTTAAGTACTCAACGACTAGGTTATTCTCTCATATGTGAATTTTTTCCCTTACAGATAGTTGATGCATGGGAAGTTAAGGGCTAACTCCTCCTAATTCAGAATAAAGTCTGGATGTTTACTGTGAATGATCCATTCTATCCTTGCTCTGAGAATGATAAACGCATGCTGTCTTAGCTTTACTTGCTACATAAAGGCAAAAAAGGGGGCCTAGGATAACAGTGAATATATTGACTAATCTGAAGAAATTTAACACAAGTATCTGATCTCTTGCCTGTGGAATGCATGAGAATGCTAGGCATGATACAGAGAGTAACCTAGATCTTAAGTAAAATATACTAAGAAATAATAGTATCAAAGCGCTGTACATTCTTCACTATTTATTATAGGTGATGAATTAGTGCAGTAGCATAGTTATATTTTAGGTTAAGCTTACACAGACTCTCTACACTCTGCAGATAAAGCTTTCTAAACTAGGGATACTCTTTGATATCTTAATACTTTCTTCCACTGATTTCCGCCCACCACCTCTCATTCATACAGTACTAAGCGTCGATCAGCAAATGTGCCAGAACCCTTAACACATTTGGCCGAGGAAATCTGACTGCTGTAGAGTAAATAGGAATGTGGAAATAATACGGCCAATTCACACCACAGGCCATCCACTAGAGAAGTCAATCACGTTCCATCCAAAGAGCTTTTGGCCGTCTGCATAGCCGATCCTGGTGTCCACATAGTGGTAATACAGAACAGGTCCAAGAGTAGGATCTGTGAAGACGCCCCTGAGGATAATCAGTATTTATAGCAAGTTTATCAGGCTGGCAGGGAGAGGCTTATTTAGGGAAGACATACTGTCCACCAGGTCCGTAGACAGTTCCATGGCTTTCAAGAACAACCGTCCCACCACCATTAGTGCAAGCAACACCATTTTCATCAATCTAGATTCCAATCAGTTTCTGCAACCTCCAATGTAGTCTATGCCCGCTTACGAAGTTCCCTGTCGCTGAGGTCGAACGGCAAACTTTAATCTTATACTCTTGTCCTGAAGCTGGCCTGGACTTGTCATAGCCACAGCAGATGCCAGCAGAGTAAAAGAGATAGTAATACCCACCGTGCTTGTACATGAATGCTCCTTCAACGGCATGGGTTCCTGAAGGATTATAGGCGATGTTGTGTGCTGAGGAGGAAATGGTGGTTGCGGCTGAGCCCATTGGTGCCTGGTAAATATCATGCCAGAAAGAACCAAAGTTCATGTAATATTTTCCTCCATCATTAAAGAGATTGCCATCAATTGCATTGTATGGCTTCGAGGAGCTGGACCGGATACCAATAGAGCCATGGTCGGTCCATGAATTCAGACCCATGCTGGTAGATGTCGCAAGACCAATAGCTGAGTTCTGTGATTTGAAAGTTGATACTGAATAGTAGAGATGATAGACTCCATTAATAAGAGAGACGTCTGGTGCCTACATAGCTTCAGTCAACCTTGGATTCTGAAAGTATACCAACTGACCCTTAGCGGCCAGGAGGACAGCTATCACAGAAGGAAGCTGCAGGAAGTGGCCAAAAAAGAATATCAAAGTCATCCATGCAAGACTAGAGAAGAGCGGATATAATAAGTTCTGGATCAATTGCAGATGACTTACCCAAAGATCGTTATTCCCAGGCAGGTCGATTGACGATCCCCTCGGCAAAACGGACCCTAGCACAGTCCATGGGCCCTTAATAGAAGATGCAAATGCATAAGAGACCTTGTTTCCAGTAGAAAACCGGAAGTACTTTCCATCAGACTCTCTGCGGATAAGGCTTGGATCATGGACATTGCAAGCTCCAGAGCATATTCCAGGGTTCGCATAGCCTTCTGCTAGAGCTACCAGGCAAGACGTTATCACCAGAAAACTTGAGGAATGCATGTTTGTGAAGAATAGTCTTGCGTCGATTGTGTAATCCGCCCAGCAAGGGCACGATGAGGTGGACAGCAGCATTATATATATATTCGATTCGCCTGAACTATTTATCAGGCTTCATCGCGCCCGCTAGGCACAAAAATGTAATTCTACATTCACGATAGTGGGAAAGGATTACCCATATTAGACACAATAAGCCAGTCACGGATTGTCTCACATAGGTAGCTGAAACGAATCAACAACTGGTGGGTTTCACCATTGTCCGGTTCCGTGGTAGAAATAGTTTGGCCGGAATCCTCGTAGCCACTAAACAAGTCCGTCACTGCCGTCCATAACCCCATTCGTCGTCTACTCCGGAGTACACATGCACATTGAAGTTCAGAGTTAGGCCTAAGGACGCAGCTTTTGCCTTGCTCAGCTTAGCGATCCCCCGGAATAACTCTTGAAGGAGTAGGTAAATTGCTAGGATCATAGTGAAGGCACGAGACCCAACTGCTGTGCCTTACTGTCTCGTAATTCGCTTACTCTCCTTATCTGAAATGTGGAAAACGCTCCAAAGTAACCTCTAGCATGTCATGCTCGCTCTTCGCTTAGCGGAGCTCTCAACGAAATATACCCAGTGGTGGAAAAGAAAGGGGTGGCAAAATATTCTTGTGCCAACGCTAAGGCAAATACCCAGCATAGGCAGGTGATACCAGGGTAAAATCACTGGAACAACTTAGTGGCTAGGTTGCACCTAGCTCAATGATTTGTTTGACAGTTCACAGGGACTAGGACAGTGGCCAATTTTAGCATTGTCGACCGGATATTTAAGTTTTTGCGGTATGCAGCAGAACACTATTGGTGGACTCCACACCAGGGCAATCCCGCTAAGTACTGTTTGTAAAGTGCAGATCCGTCCGTATCAAAGCCTGCCCGAATCCAAAGGTGATCAATATATTTCTCGGCCCGTGCAACCTTAATAACAATGAGTTTCCAGAATGGCGAACCAAGCCGCCTGAGGGGCTCTTTATCGTTTCTGTACTTTCCGGTACCTTCAGATGAGTCTGCGTCAAAAGAAGAGCAGTTGACTGCATGACAAGACGTAATAGACACTACCTCTACGTGACTAAATAGACCGATGAAACGTCCGGTAAGTCCGGGGGAGGAGGCCTAGCATACCACTTGTAGGCTCGCAACACATGTCCGCTGTATCTGTGGAAAATCGTCGACGTGAATTAACTGACCCATGCCACGGTTGCGGCTCAGTAAGACTAAGCTTAGTATTAGGGTTCGCGCAACGCACGACCAAGCCATCTCAATCAAAACCGACATCTCAACGGTAAAGTCTACGGATATAAGTAGAGCCCATGGAATAGCTGCTGGATTGAGCGATTTCAGGCTCACCACTGTGTCAAAATTCCGCACCACAGTACTAAGAAACCTATGCAACTTCCCTGGGGAGAGGGAATTACGGATGGATATACTCAAGGGAAAACGATAACTCATACGACAGCAGCACTGGCAGATGGCAGACTACGCAATGTTTCACACAACCTGCCCTGTGCAGGATCAAACTTGCAACATTCCATCAGACCCAAGTAATTCCAGAGCCTTGCGGCTAACAAAAGCAACCGTGACTCAAGATTGTTTAGGAAGGATATTTAAACTTGCCGGCTTCAATGGCTGTTACCACGTCACTCCGGGGGTGGATGTTGGGTGCAATCTGAAAGCTGTCGGCTATAGACGTCCGCAAGAGCAAAGCCATCAAATTCCCAAAGATGATCATCCCGGCTTTATCCAGGTGCGTATAATCCTTGGGTGTAAGATTATACTTTGCTGCATTTTTTGCGCCGATGCTGTTCAGATATTTGGTTGATGCTCCATTCAGATCCACATATTCGCAGCCTGTAGCCTTTGCGGCAGCCTTGGTGGCAGCTACAACGTTTGCCAGCGAGGGAACCACATGGCCTGAATCGTCGAAGCTTCGGCGGCTCAGAGAAGTCACCAGGATCTTGGGTATATGTTAATGAAATTCTTTCATCCAAGCGCAGACTCGCGACTTACTGGGGTACCCCCTGCCGACCGGACATCGGCTACCATTTTCTCCAGATTTGCCGTAAATTGGGAGATGGAGACACCAGACGTTGACTTCTGGTCATTGTGCCCGAACTAGGTATCATATCCATGTTTATGTAAGTCCTTAGATGTATGGTCACGGAATCTGGTCATTTACCTGGATTGTGACGTAGGGATGGTAGTTCGACTTATTTTTCTTGACAGCGTTGAGAACCTTGGCCCAGTATCCACGGGCCACGAAGGAGGCCGTTGTAGCACCGCTGTGGGCGAAATTGGTGCCAATAGTCCCGTCAGACAACGCGGCTAAGAAGCCATCCCCCCAGCCTGGGAATCATGCCAATGCCGTCAGCCAACATCATCCTCTGAAACAAATTAAGGCCACTCGCCTCCATTCATTGCTGTAGTTGAGTCTCCAGCAAGAAAGATTGCAGGTTTAGATGCCGTGAATCGCTCTACTGGAGTAGCAAGAGTAGAGCATGGGAGAAAATACAGCACTGACTGCAGTGCGCAACAGATAGTCAAGAATTTCATGATTATAGTCATACGACGAATACTATGTTGCAATGCTTAAACACCGTGGTTCTCTGGCACGATGATGGTCTTTATATAGGTTTCCATACTCATCAAAATGAAACAATATAACAGTCGACTTTCGTTCGGCCATTGGTACTGCCATGTATCCGGGTTAACTTTTAAACGGGGACTGCAGCAATATGCTTCTGCAGAGTTATGCCCATGTGATGTATGGCTATATGTTGCCTTCTAACGCTGCTAAGTCCACTTGATGGCCTCTCATGCCGAAGTAACTGGTAATTTTCTGAGACATCGGTACTTCGTCAATATTAGGCAGACCTATTGCGTCAGTGGTGGAAATTTTGCTTAGGTCGGCGAGACTTTCTCATTAGGCGTTTTGCTATCACCGCTTGCTCCACATTACCCCGTATTCCACATGATCCCCCATTCGTCCGTACCAATGGAATTGCATTTGGATAGTATCTAGACTAGCCCGAAGCGGTAATCTAAGACAGCCAAGTGCTGCAAAGGACAAGAGCTGCATCCTTAGCCCCAACTCTGTTGTACCCTTGCACTAACTCGAAGTCTCCCCGGTGGACGGAAAGCTTGAACCCCTAGCTTGCGCTAATGGTTTGATGTAAACTGTGATTGACTCCGGTGGTTTCGTTAGCATGGGACTCGGAGCTCTCCTGTAATAGCTAAGGAGGTGTTTTAAATAGATGGCTGCCTGCTCTGATAGATAGAAGTCTTACTTATTAGAAAGATTAGCAGCAAGATATTGGCCAGGAGCCAATACACCAATTACATGATCCCTGTATAACGTGTAATATAAAAATAACAAAAACCACCGAGGTCAACCACAGTGCTCTGTAGAGACTAGTTAGTAGCGACGTGATCAGTTGCTGCAGCTATACGAATACGAAACAACTTTACCCAATCTCTTGATGACCTGCTGGGCTGACTGTCCAACGACCACTCTCTTATAGTTCCTTGCAAGCCAGTTTGTGGAGTTCAGACCCGCCCCTCACGCAGTTGATACGATCAGTGCTCCGTCCAGTTGCATTCAGCTCGACTGCATCGCCGGCTCGGAACTCCGTATAACCTTGATCGCACGGAATAAAAAGTATCCAGCAAATTGAGGATAGGGCTGGAATGAAACTGATGAGGGGAAAGGGCCGCTGCTTCGGGGTAGTGTATTCACCGAACTCAGTAGTAGAGTTGCCCATGGATGAAACATCCTGATGGGGATTACTATAATAGATACTGCTCGCTCATTCATATAAGCGAGGCTAAATCCCTTTCCTGCCTTTGATAGAGCATAGTTTTGCGCTCATTTCCGATCCGTTTTTCCTCCTTGATATTCTTTGGCTCTTCAGCAAGTGCTCCTAGCACAAAACAATTCAAGTTGGCAATGTTGCTTTGTAAACTGCTTTTCGTACTCAACGCTTCGTTGCTTGCAGCTGCGGCAACATCCTGGATCGTTCCGGGCGCCGTATGGAAGGACACCGAGGGCCAGAAGATTGATGCGCACGGCGGCGGCATTTTCCAACAGGGAAATACATTCTACTGGGTCGGTCAAAGTGCTAGAACGGGTACTCACTCCAAGCATGATCATTTCTCTGGCAGCAGCGGGAATCCTAGCTGATATTTACCACCCGCAGGTGAAACACCCTACATGTACTCATTCACCGACCTCCTCAACTGGGTTCCGCACGGTGCGCAGGCTCGAATCCAAGGCATGTGGCGTCCAAAGATTGCCAGACCTAATGGGAAATACTGGGTACACATTTCCTTCTAATTTCTTTCCTGGGCCGGCCTCTCCGGTAATAACTATTGACTGTTTCCAGATATACGGACAGGTGAACCGGCTTGTTCAACCTCTGGAGTCGTCAACATTGGTTGGGGGTTATCAGGCCCACGGCTCTGGAGAGCATCTTCCACCTAAGGGGTACACATACTCGGACACTGGCATGTTCCAGGATCCCAATGATGGTACGCGGTCGTCTGGAGCTAAACCTACGAATTGATCTTGACCCGGCTTAGGGACATGGTACCTCTTAACGAGTGCAGACCATAACAACCTTCAGATTAACCGTATCAACTCGGATGGGACAGTTGGGAATCGAGTGAACGTGCTGGGTTCGTACCATCGTTCTATTTGTCAATATTATGCTGCTTGATTGACTAACCTTTGTGGCACTCAGCGGCCGGAGCATACGAGGCTCCAGGCATGTTCTATGCCGGAGGCATCTACTTTCTAATTGTCTCTGGCAAAACCGGTTGGAGGGGCAACCCGAATCAGATGTTCTACAGCGAGAGTATTTCAGGGTCCTGGCATGGGCCCCATCCCATCGCTCCTGGCTCCAGTAATACATACGGCGCGCAGAACACATTTGAGCTTGTCATCAAAGGAACAAAGGAGACGACTTATATCTACATGGGTGACCTTTGGGACTCCAAGGGGGGAACTAGCTCCAACTACCTCTGGCTGCCGATGTCGGTTGACGCACGGTTAGTGCTCTGCGTTCAAAATTACTTGAGGTATAGTATGCTAAGTAAACCTGTAAATCAGTGCCAAGACCGTGACTTTGGATTATCACTCCATGTGGGCTGTGGACGTGAACACTGGGGAGGTCTCCTTTCCCAAGTCTAAAAAGCGATATGAAGCTGAGGATGCTATTCTTTCCGGCCGTGCCGGTGAGTTGTTCTGCTTCGAGAACGTCTATTGCCCTTCCTTCTAACTTGTATGGTAGCCGTTACTGCGTGTGGTCATTGCCTGACCAAACGGTCCGTCCACAGAAGTATGTATAGAACCCTCCCTGCAGTAACAGACAGGAACAGTTAACAAAGCCTCCTCTTCAGTTGATCATGACAGCGAGGTTGTGTTTGAGAATGTTACAGGAACCGGGGAGCCTGAATGGGTGTCCGTCCATTACACTGTGAATAACCCTACTTGTACGCCCTCCCGCTTAAACCTCTTAATGCGTCTACGTACTGACATGCCGGGTGTTCTCTGTTAGCGGGTGATGCACATATATATGTGAATGACGAACCAGTTGCATTGAACCTATCAGGGCTGAATTCTCGGGCCGGGTATCATCAGACTGTCCCGGTCCAACTCACCCTCAAGCCTGGCGATACTAATATCATCAGGTTTGCCGCTATTGGCACCTCTGGTAGGGCAATGCATTTCAAAACTCAGTCCAATTGGGAAAGCTAACCTTAACTATAGATTTCGAAGTCTTCTTGGACGGAATAGAGCTGCATTGGTAGCTCTTTGGAGGAGTACAATAGCAACGCTGTACTTGTTGTCAGGCCCAAGTTGCGTCTTGGTTAGGTACAGTGAAGTATATCGTTCCAGCGCCGGACATCAGTTGCCAGGAATGCCTCACTACAGTTCAACCTGCAGGATGTGCTTGTACAATGATAAGGCTCGTCTACATAATTGCTTATATTGACCACAGTGAGCCATGTATAGACATATATCCAGGTACAGTACTCAGCAGCATCATGTCAGCGTTGCAAGCCATCAGAAACCCTACTGCAAGTCAGAGCAGTGTATCATTTGTACCATCCTTGGCGTAGTTAAAGAAACAAAAGCAAGGGGCTCCCACTCCGGCTCTAATGGATTCCCGGACACTGTAGTGGCGAAGGCAAAGATGCAGACAGATCGTTTGCGAAGGAAAAGGAGCATACAGGAAAACGAAATCTTCGATCTATAGACATAGGAACGGAAGCCTTCCAAAAACAGCAGTCACGTTCGCCGAATTGACGGTTCTCTTCCCTTGATACTTGAAGGCATGCATCCGGGAAATCGGCCCTATTCCCTCACTCGACTACGACCGGTCACTCTTGGCTTGTTATACATTGAAACCTTTATCAATTCCGAGAAGACGATAAATGTAGTAGTGGTGCGAAGGAAGCGGTAGTCCATGCCTTGGTAGGCTCTCTGGAACTTGAGAGTCTACGACAAGAGCTGCGCAAGAAGATCGGAAGTGACTTTACCTGTATCCGTGTGTGCTAGGTCGGCAGTAATAAGAAAGGTAGATGAAGTTAATCTGCCCAAGGCAGCGCCGTGTTGGGCTTCGCAGAAGTATCTCAGATGTAGAGACCGCGCGCCAGCGAGACTTCAGAATATAGTCGGTCACTGTACTTAGCGACCAAGTGACTGTTGTGTATCCTTGGGGAGAGGACGGTAAATAGGCCCTTCCAGACAGCAACCATCACAGATCGTCAAAGTCTTGTTACGGTTTCATTAACTCGCCAGTCTATAGTGGAAATCGGCCCAGGCCAGGTAAAAATGTTTGTCAGACCACGGTGGGTGGAATGCGATTGACTCTTGCCGTTCTGACCCAACCATTTAACTTGATATTTGGAAAGGACGTTTATCGTTACTGTTCCCTAAGTTTCTTCACTCGCGGTGTCGTCGGAGGATTGAGGAGTATGTCGGTTGTAGTCCGCGAGGAAGTATGGACAACACCTACATATAATGATCTGGTCCGTGGTAATCTGCGGCACAATGAACGAAAGTAATTGGTAAACGAGCGGGCCATGTAGGCCAGCGGGCCACCTCTATATGCCATAGAAAATGGCCCTTCTTTGGACTTCGATATCTCAACCAAAGCACCTATTAAGAGCTTAATAGTGAGGAATATAGTTTATTATACTATTTAATATTTATAGAGGCTTTTATTATGTCTTAACGAACACTAATATCTTAAGTAATATAAATTACAGCTGTTATTTTCATACTTTGAGTAATTTAAGGATATACAGTAGAATTTAATTCTTAAAATTTTTAAAAAACAATTTCTGAACTATTTATACTTAGTTGTACTATATATCTAACTTACCCTTTATAATATTCATCTTTGGGTGAGATATAGTAGTCTTAAAAAGGGCCCTTTACTATGGAATACAGAGGTGGCCCGCTGGCCTACATGGCCCGCTCGTTTACCGATTACGTTACCATAATTACATCAAATGACTAATCAAGATAAGTTAGTTATGCGTAGCTAACTAACTAATTTGTTGAATATCACGGTGGTCGTGTCGAGCATCATGGTGGCTGAACCTTGCAGCAGGGATGGGGATGGATATATATATTGGGCATCCGACCCCTGTAAAAGATAACTCCTCAAATCAACCAACAACACCATAATATGACATGACACCCACAGCATACTGTCGTCACCCTTAGGGTACACTTCAAACTCTCAACCTGCAAAGTACTAGTAGTGATAATAAAGGCTTTCGCATCTCTAAAGTGCCAAGTTCTTCGGCGACAATGAAATAGGTTGTTGATCTTCTTGTTAGAGACCAGTCTCTATCCCCTGTAGCTTTACTGTAAGTTTCAAATTTCAACAAAATTTACATTTCTTAGAAAAACTTACATATACAATGGGCTCCATCCAACTCCTTGCTTGACGCAGAAATTGGGGCAGTGAGCCATCATTGGCTCTCAGCCGTATGGAGTCTCGGTCATGGGGATCAGAGAGTTCCGGTAAGAAGTCACGCATGTCTGAATCATATATGCCCTCAATCAGGAGTCTTCCAAAGACGGCAGCTCCGTTGTTAACAGATGGCGAAAGAAATCTACCGAATGCTGCAATACTAGGCTCCGGAGCGTCAGGAGTTTGGTCCTGTTCTGGGGGCTGGGGCACGATAAATTTGAAAATTTTGCCTCGATCTCCTCAATATTTTGGCCCAGCTTATGAAAGTCCAGAAGATCAAAGTCTGACCAGCTTATAGTGATACTTCTTAAGGCCAGTGCCTCTCCATCATTCGCCCTTGTACCAGGAGAGACGTCTTATTACTGCTCCAAATTCACTCCCACCAAAACGAGTTAGGACTGTTCGAGTAGGAGATTAAATGCTCTGCAAACACAACCTAGGATTAATTTCCTGTCACAGCTAGACCTAGGCAAAACCCAACCCGGAACACCCCCCCTGAGCCCAAGCCCAGCCCAGAACCCAACTGGGCTACCCAGTTGGGCTACCTAGGTTGTTTTATTTTAGTATAATTTTCCCAATTAAGCCATGCCAAGACGCATAATTCTGCTGACTAACTTAAATAGAATACTGTTATTTACACCTATTCCAGTTACCTCTGTGATGTCGAATAATATATAGTCCTTAAACATATGAAATTTGAAGTAATTCGGCTGTCTCTTAATAAATTGACACTGGTAATCATCTATTATCTAAGTCTTAAGATAATATTATCGCGTTGTGGTGGTTAATAAGCTACATATGTAAAGGTACTCTTAACGACTGTAGAAATATATTTAAACTACAGAGTACTGTCGGTGGTTATGTGGTGAGAGTATATTATTACATTGATTAGTACATTAGCCACCTGTACCTAGTTTCTTCCTTCTTTAGTGATCCCACTTCCTTCCTTCATGGCCTATTAGGATGGTTAGAGTACAGCTCCGGCTGGGATATTCTTATCATGGGCAAGAAAAGCTCGAACTTCAAAGAATATCAGAGGAAACTGGGTTTTCTGGATATCATGGGCCTGTTCCGGAACATGTTCCGGGTGATCTGTTGGGTAGCCCAGAAACCCAGTGTATCTAGATAGTACTATCCAATCATACCACCTCTTCTGTCTGTAAGAGGGTCAAAATATGATACATCAACAACTTCAATTTAGCTGGTAGCTGACCGATGCGCCCCCCATCTTTCATCTGAATATTTTTCTTCTAGACATGAAGATTTCTGTAAGTTAATTATTACTCACTTTACTCTCCCCCCTAGCATATATTTTACTATGTCTTAATTCTCGGACTCTTTCACTCCATCCTTATATGGATCTAATAATATTGACACCTTCACAAATATCCCACAAGACAGTCATACACCTAATCTTTCTCATAGCCAACAGAGCTTCAATTCAGACAACGATTATTCTACATTTCAAACTCCAGCACCACCACCACACCCCTCCCTCCAGCGCGTCGGGCCTGATCGCAAGAAATCCTACGTGCTTTATACTATGATGTCAAAGACAGAATTTGTTGAATGGTGGCTTAGAACAGAGTATGGAGCAAAGAAGAGAATACGTTGGGATAGCAATAGGCGCTCGTCAAGCATGTGGGATAGCTTTGATCAAGTCGCTCAGGCCAGTGACGGCAAAGCAAAGCTTGTGCAAGAAATGTGGTGGTATTCTTGATCATCCCCATAATAATGAGCATGGCACATCAACTATGGCAAGGCATGTAAAAGGATCACAATGCCGTGGTATCTCTGCCAATCATACAAAGCAGAAAGGCATTATGTCACTTATACGGGACGCGGTAAGCTATCTCAGTGTCTATTATACATTAAATAATGTTAATAGCCGCAACGTCTTGAAACTACACTAGTTTTCTCTCAGCAAGCATGGGAGGAGAAGCTCCTGACCTTTATTACAAGGGCAAAGCTTCCCTTTCAACTTATTGAGCACTCTGAATTTCAAGAATTAATTGAATTTGCTCAACTTGCTCCTTCACAGCCTAATATTCCTTCCTCCCGAACCATGCGACGGCGGTTACAGGAAACAACTAAGATACGGCAACGAAAGATGCTTGATAGGCTTCCATCTGGTACAAAGTTATCAATTGCCCTTGATTGCTGGACATCTCCATTTCAACAGGCTTTTATGGCAATCACAGGATATTTTATCGACGATGAATGGAATTATTGAGAAATTTTACTTGGTTTTGAACTGCTTCATGGATCTCACTCAGGTACTAACCTAAGTACTGTTCTTCTTGACCTGCTTCAGCAATATGAGATTACAGATCGTGTGCTTTCTATTACAACAGATAATGCATCAAATAATGTTACATTAATGGAAAGTATACAAGATTCAATCCAGTCAAATCAAATCAGCACTGACACTACAATTATCCGTGTTCCCTGCATCGCGCATGTGATCCAGCTCAGTTTACAGAAGCTTCTTGGTCAGATAAAAGCCAATCCAAAGAATGAGACAACAGAGATCAATTGGTCAGAGGCCCGATCACAGTCACTGCGAGCAAGACAGCAAAAGCGGGAGATTGCTAATACCCTTAATAAAGTAAGTCTCCTTATAATATAGTATTTGGATTAGTACATTGATTATTATAATATTATTAGGTAAGGGCGCTTGCAATTTTTATTAATGCAAGCCCTCAACATCGTGAAGCCTTCTATAATCTCCAGACTGAAGCACCAAAGCTTGTGCCGATCCAAGATGTTAGGACTCGCTGGAATTCCACCTTCTTAATGCTCCGAAGAGCAAAGAAACTGCAGCCAATCTTTGATCAGTTCTGCTCACAAAATGGTCATGATCACTTGATGCTTGACCAAGAAGAATGGCGCCAGATTGAGTATCTTCTTTGGATCACTCAAACATTCTTTAAATTCACTACCGCGCTCTCTCAAACAAAAGATGTGACCATCCATGTTATCTTCAATATCTACAACAAACTTTTGATCATCTTGAAGCATCAATTCGTCAGCTTCAACGGAAGAAAGTAGCCTGGAAGAAGCTTATGCTTAGTGCTCTCCATGCAGCGAAGGAGAAGCTATCTATCTACTATGGGGAAACATATAAGGTCCATGGTGATCTATTTGCAATTGGGACAATCCTTGCACCGCAAAACAAGCTTCAGTTCTTCAGTAATAAGGATTGGGGTCCTGAATTACGTGATCAATATCGCAAAAGCTTTGAAACCTATGCAGGTCTCTATAAGGAACGCTTATCAGCTACACAGGGCTCGCCACGGGTATCATCTTTGGGTGTTCAAACATCAAAGATTGATGCGCTTTTTGCTCCTGATTTTAATCAATCAGTGAGTACTAATGAGACTACACAGTACCTTGAGAGTGGTAAGTAATATTAGTATTCCTGCTAACACTCTACTAATTAATATTATCTAATAGAGACGGCCCCAATTGCTCCGCGAACATTCTGGAATGAGCATGAACATAAATTTCCAGCTCTTGCAAAAATGGCACGCGATGTACTCTCAATACCTGCCACTGGTGCTGGTGTTGAGCGGCTTTTTATTTCTGCTCGAGATGTCTGCCATTATCGTCGAGGCTCGCTTAATTCTACGACAATCCAAGATCTAATGCTATTCATGTGTACAGCAAGGTTTGAAGTGGAAGAGAAGCAACTTTCCCTTATGAAACAATATCTTTCAAATGAGGAACAGCAAGCCCTTGATGAAGAGAAAGATGCTCAACAGCTTCAAGATACCCTTGAGCCAATCAGTGATAATGAAGAAGAAGATGGCCTGGAGATTAGTATAGACCAGCCGGCTACCCAGCAGCTATCTAAGCGTGCACAGGGTGAAAGACGAAGGAGTATGGTATCTAATGGGGAGCAAGAGGGCCAGGAACCTTTTCTGTCAGATGATGAAGTGGTACTTCCTTTACCTGACACGCAACAGCGTATCTCTGGACGAAATCGGAAGCGTACAAGGCGCGAGGATGATCAGTTCCTTCATTATTAGTCGTCAGTGTCATGGGCTAACCCATGACACGCACTGCATTGTGTATGCAGCTGTGGTTAGGTAGTGAGAGTTGATTATTACAATGATTAGTACATTAGCTATATATACTTAGCTTCTTCCTTCTTCAGCAATAGTTAGAGTATAGCCCTATACTAGGATTCTGGCCTGCTTGTATTTATATATACAGTTTAAATACCTATAAATACAAGACAAGACTACATAATTAATGCATATCACATGATCTGGAATGTTTGTCTGGTTTATCTACCCAACTGGGTTACCCAAAACCCAGCTGGGTTCTATATGAAAGCCCAGAACCCAACGCGGAACACCCCCCTTGAGCCCAAAACCCAGCTCAAGTTGGGTTTGACACATGTTTCAGTTGGGTTACCCGGAACACCTGCCTAGGTCTAGTCACAGCGTCCCGATTCCACAGTGGACTGTTAGCCTACGTAGGCTACGTTCTTCTTTAGAAGACATCCCCCTTCAAACAGGGCGATCTCGTACAATGATGTAGTTCGAACAGAAGCCTGCTATGGCTTAGAGATGAGAGGTATAAGTGCACCATTTTCCTTCTTGTAGCTGATGTACCTACATAGTGCGAAGCATCAGTGATAAGCTCAGGTGGATAATAACACGAGTCAATCAGTCGATGGATACAGGAACTGACATCCGGGCCGTTATTGCTAAGGTCGGGCTACGTAGTCTGAATATATGACACCTCCATAGTATTAGATTGTAAGGTAAGGAAGTCTGAGGAAGAGATGAAACCAGACCCTGATGACATATAGAACTACTTGATTGCCGCGCAAGGGATCTCTCTGTCGAGACGCAATGAGATCAGATCAACCATCTTCCCTATAACATTACTAAGTCTTCTCGGTGTGTCTGCCAAAAGCAAGAACAAAAATGGACAATCATGCCGCATGCGAACATGAATTCGTGTCCGAATACAGTAGAACTGTAGTGTGCTTCGTACTATCTACCACTTAAAGCTCTTCAGCTCGACAAAATGATCGATGCACAAGCAACAGCCAATGACTGTTGCCGACTACGAGACCGTCGGGTATGGCTATTACTGGTCTTTCTCCATCGGCACTTCAACGGCGCCTTCAATGTTCTCTGTCGAATAGACAGGAAACCCTTAAACAGATCCTCGAGAAACAACAATGAACCACAATGCAGACTGCATGCCCAGCTGGGCCAGACATCAGCTTAACGGAGCCCCATTGCGATCTTGAGTCAGGCCTCCAGACTATCGAACATTCGAACTGATGTTTATGCCGGAAGTAACGACATGTTTTACGGGCCAATTGACGATTGGAGCGATCGGCATTAGAGATTCCACAAATGAATGTAGAAAGGGCACAGCTCGAGTGGCGGCTTCTATCTACCCGACAATGTTGACTGTCACTTCAGACCCCACGGATACAAGTTTCCTGAGTCTGAGCAGCGACACTCTTTGGGGATACCAAGTGCGGACGCAAACATTCTCTATATGCCGAAGCAACAGCAAGTCTCGCGTTCTGAGACTTCAATCAATCAAGTCGTGTAAATCTTACCAGTTCAACACTATGGACTCGCCAGTCCTGCTTCTGATGTGGCTGTATACTTTTGTTATACTTTTGATTGCGCTCCAGGAACCACATGCGTCATGTTGCATGCAATGGAAGTTTTCCGTAGCGACATGTAACGGGAAAGCCATGGCATAATTGTCCGCGCTCACTGCTAAGTTTCTATAAGGCAAGAAGTTGGGCAAGTCAGGTATAGGTTACGTGGGAGTTTTCCGTTCGCGCTTCTTCCCCGAGATTCAGAATCTCCTTGATTCCGAGGAATCATCTTCGGCAAATCAGGAAGTATAACCATTTCGGTCCATATCAGATGCGCCCAATCCTTCATTTTGCTTGCTCGCGTCCTTTTCGGAGGGCTACCAGGCATGACATCAGCGGCTCGGCTCGCTTTCCTGTTTGAAATCCTCTGAAAAAGAGGGCCAGCCTACCATCTCGGCATCGACGTGCCCAGGTCTTGGCTGACAGGCCAAGAGTCGCCGGCCACAGCCACCTGCCAGCAGCCAGGATCTTCACACGGACTTCCGCTTGCCAATCTATGTGCTTCCTGGCGGAAATCTTATTTGTGGCTTGATTATCCTCGATGCCCCATCTCGTCGCTGCCGAGACAGATCCAAAATGACTCAATTTGTGCTACTGGATGAGCTTTGCCGAGGAGTTTTACCTGCCCCATATATTGAAATCATGGGGTTCTTGTGGAGTATGTCGCAGTTCTTGGAGTTCTCTGACCTCCACATGTCCATGACCTTGCATGTATATTTACATGGTGGGAATGTCTTATAAATAAAAGGTTCCTCCATCCTGGTCTTCCTTCCTCGATTTGTGCCTCTTCTCCTTTGGAATCAAGTGCAAACACTCCCGTTCTCGACCTCATATTGCACCGAAGTGCAATGTTGCAGGATTTGAGACGTTTTCTTTCTTTTTGAACAAGCACCACCTTCACCTTAAATTACGGTTCTTCTGTGTCGCCGCAAGTCTGCGAGATTACCACCCGGCAGAGGGTATAAGTATCACACCATGTCGTCTGTCCCTTCATTCGCCGGCATGTTCGGTAAGAAGCTGATGTGGTCTGTCACAACATGTGCAACCATGGGCTTCTTACTCTTCGGTTATGACCGTATGTACTCCAACTGGGTGGTTTGAACTTTCCGGGCAAAAAAGGCATCAATTCGACGAAGGCTGACTCAATGTCCTGTTCCAGAGGGCGTGATGAGCAGTATCATTGATGCTGACCCATTCAATGATGTATTTACGGCCACAAGAGAAACTCAACCATGCAAGGTGTTGTCCCCGCCATCTCCGAGCTGGGTAGGTACATTCGGATTGAGAGTCTCATGGCTGCATTCGATTAATCGATGATTCAGGTTGTCTTGCCGGCGCTCTGTTCATTCTCGCATGCGGTGACTGGCTTGGTCGACGCTGGTCCATCATGCTCGGTGCCACCGTCATGATTCTCGGAGTCATTCTCCAGGTCACAGCTTACCCTGGTCACGTCCCGCTGGCTCAATTCTGCATTGGGCGAGTCATCACGGGCATCGGCAACGGCATGAACACCTCCAACATACCTACGTACCAGGCCGAATGTTCTCGGACGTCCAATCGGGGTCTCCTGATTTGTATCGAGGGCGGTACGGTCGCGATTGGCACATTGATCTCCTACTGGGTGGATTTCGGTGCCTCGTACGGACCCCCCTGATCTCACCTGGAGGTTCCCGATTGCTTTCCAATGTGTTTTTGGCCTGTTTATCATCATTGGCTTGTGGTTCCTTCCCGAGTCCCCTCGCTGGCTCTTTGCTCGGGAGCGGTAAGAAGAAGGCGAACGTGTGATCGCCGCATTGATGGGCCGGGAGATTGCCGATCGTGATGTCCAGTTGCAAAAGACTTTGATCCTGGATTCCCCCCGAGCGTTCTTTTCCCCCTCTTCCTCGCATGGTTGACGCCAGTCGCTAATGGTTGCAGTTCTGGCCAAGCTGGCAAATCCACTCCCATGTCCGCTGTATTTACTGGTGGCAAAACGCAGCATTGTCGCCGCATGCTTCTGGGAGCATCATCCCAGTTTTTCCAGCAGATTGGTGGCTGCAACGCCGTCATCTATTATCTTCCTGTGCTCTTTGAAAAGTCTCTAGGTCAGACTCCTTTCATGTCCATGATTCTCGGTGGTGTCAACATGGTTGTGTACTCGGTTTTGGCGACTACGTCTTGGTTCCTCATCGAACGTGTTGGTCGTCGTAAGCTGTTCCTCGTCGGATCGTTTGGACAAAGCTTGTCGATGGTCATCGCGTTTGCCTGCTTGATACCAGACAACGAGCAGGCTGCCAAGGGTGCCGCCGTCGGCCTGTTCACCTTCATTGCGTAAGTGTCACCCATGCTGTCCCAGTGAAGTGAACTCACGACTAACATCCGCAGAACATTTGGTACCGCCTGGCTCCCCCTTCCTTGGCTGTATCCTGCTGAGATTTCCCCAATCAAGACCCGCGCCAAGGCCAACGCCATCTCAACATGCACGAACTGGCTCTTCAACTTCCTGATTGTCATGGTCACCCCGATCATGATCCGGGATATCGGATGGGGTACCTACCTCTTCTTCGCTGTGATCAACGCCCTCTTCATCCCAGTGATCTACCTCTTCTACCCGGAAACGGCAGGACGCTCTTTGGAAGAAATCGACCTGATCTTCGCAAAGGGATATCTCGAGAACATGGGCTACGTACGTGCCGCCAAGGAGCTTCCACGCTTGTCCGATGAAGAGATCAAGCGGGTGGCGATCCAGTACGGATTCGGTTCGGCAGATCAGGAAGCGAAGCATGTGGTGGGTGACAGCGACAGCACCGAATCCAATGTGGTAGGAACCGGTGATGGGGAGAATAATTACGATGCTTGAATACTGTGGTTTGGTAATACATTGATTGATTGATTCCTTACTCCGTTTTCGGTACCGGGCCCGGTAATGCTGGAGGCTCCTAGCAAGCAGCGACTACCTACCTAACCAACAGCCGTCTTTGCAGACTGACGCCGTCGGCATACATATATATATTTCTCGGGCATCTAGACTAGGCCGAACCTCCGTAGATTACCTCATAGATTTCCTCGTGCCCCCGTTTCGGCCCCGGCCGAAATCAGTGAGTGCCGGCTACCTTGCTTCCCTCCGTGTACGCCCTCATGCCTGCCTAGGTGCCCATACAAGCCCGATTCGCCTCGTAGATAGCCGCCGACTCGTTCGGATGTCGCAGATTCCCAAGCCTGCGAGGGTTTCGGGGGCGCCACCACCGAACGGGGCTGCTCTGGGCTTAGGGAAGCCGAAGCAGGGTCCCGATTTCACGGTGTACGCGGGTCGGGGCCGCAGGTGGTGACGCCGAACCGGTGGGAGTCTAGTTTACTATATATCAGGTGACTATTCAGTAGTAATTCTATTACATTGTAAGTTAACCAACC